GGGCTTGCTACTCGCCTGATTGGTCCAGGGTATATGAACGGCGATAGCTGGAGGGAAATCGCGAAGGATCTGGATGCTCCATGAGCATTATGAGGAGCGTGTGCTGGGGCCGGGGCTGGTTGGGGAGTTTCGACTATACGACACCGCCTGAATGACACGTTGCGGAAGTTGTGGCTTAGTTAAAATGTGTGTGAAAAGGCATCAGGCGACAGTTTATGTCCGTTTGTGTGTATGTGCCTGAGCTTAGCTTCAAAATACGCCAACTTGTTTGCTCAAAAGGCATAAAACAGTAGACGAAGTATGAATGTGTGTAAAAGCGACGACGCCTCCACAGCGAGTGGCATGTGAATGGTGGTGCGTGCTTTTATGTCACCATTACCGCATCATAAAATCCTTTTTGTGTTCGGCTAATGATGGATGAATATAGCCACAGGTGGAGATTTGCACGTTGCCGAGAGACAGACAGAGAGAGAGCGAAAGCACCAGAGAGCAGAAAGCTGAGAGAGATAGAAATAAGGGCAGTGGGAGCAAAGGAGATAGCTGTTAATATGTGTCTGTGTCTGCGGCACTGACGTCACTGTCCATTATAGAGAATTACATAACACTCGCTCACTGTGGCAACAAAGCCCCCAGTTCAATAACAAATTCTGCCGTTTATTATCATCATGTGCATTATACGACATTTTACAGCTTGTTAATTTCCAGCGAATATTACACAAAACTTTTGTTCACACAAATTGAAAACTAATGTTCCAATATGTTTTTTGTGACAAAGCCGCGAAATTAGCATTTCGTTGCATTCATTATGCAGCAGACAAGAGGCAGCCAACTGCGGACAGCGGACAGTGGACAGCGGACAGTGGAAAGCGGACAGCCGACAAGGACATAAAGAACCATTGTAACAACTTTTGCAGGACTTTCGCATAAATTTTAGTTAGCTAATTATGGCTGGAATCTGAGCAGGTTTATGAACGGCATCTAGTAAATGGAATGTTTGCCTAGTAAATACTCCTGATATCGCGTAATAAAAGCAAATTTAAAATTATTACATTTGCATATTATTATTGTAAATAATATATATAAATATATTTTTTTTAATATTCATATATTTTGTTATAAATTGCTGTCATATTATTCCCTTTTAGCTGCAATATTATTTTTACGAATTTGAAACTTACTTAATAAAATTAAAATCATGTTGAAATATAAATATAAATAAATAAAAAATAAAAAAATAAATAAATATCTGTCCTAAAAAAATATATTAAAATTAAAATTCGTCTATCGTTGATTTGTTATGAATGTGTGCAACAGACAGAAGAAGGTGTTTTCTATCCATAATGGATATTTAGTGTGATATTTATTTTATACACATAAAATAATATTTATTTGTTAGTTTATTGTTATATGATTTAAAGTCATATTAATTTGGTTATAAATCATTATATATTAAAATGCTCGGCAATATAACTCAACATTGCATTGTTATGTATTACATATTGCCACATAAAAATATAACAAATTATCGAAGTGCAAAAACTTTCAGTGTATTAGAGTTTAATCCGTATTAACATAGAAAACCGCTTTCCACGGCAACAGAAAGAGAAACCGCTGTGAAAAAACGAAGCCCAGCGTCAAATGCACATTGTCCATGTGGTTGATGGGAGAGGGGAGGTAAACGTTATGCACATGTGGTCGAGGATGACAAATTTTGGGTGGAAATTGATAAGCACATAAATTACAGTTTAATTAATAACTAAATGGAATAAATGGAATAATAAATAAACTTAACCAGAGCCCGTCAAATGCAAAATACGTGTGCGAATCGCAATTCCAGCTCCAAAGGCGAGCAAGATTGGCGGGGCGGGGCGGGGCACGGCGCATGACTGTCAACCGCAAACTATTAGGGTCTATTAAGCGTGATCTAATGGCTGTCGGAGATTTTAATGCTTATTTGCCTTCGCCATCTATTTTTTATTTAGCATTTATTTAGCTGGCAACGCAGCGCGCTGTGCATAGTGTGCATATCTCTGTGGCCGTGCGCAAATATTTATTTATTCATTTATGCATAAAATTTGTCAGAGCACATCAAATGCAGCAGCTGGCTCTGTTCTCTGTTGTCTGTTGTGCATATAAACCCAAACATTGGTTGCTCCGTTTATTTTAGGGCATAATTAAAAGCAGCTAATGCTGGAAAAATACACTATCTATGTATGCGCATATGGTCTACATATCAAATATTTACGGCTGTCACAACAACATTTTTCCACACTGTCTCTCTCTCTCTCGTTCTGTCAGTCTCGCAGTCAATCTGTCTCTTTCGATTGCTGTTATTTAAAAAATATGTCAAAATAGGCCGCATCGCATGCAAATTGCATAAATTGAGTTAATTTCTGGCAAAACACAAAAATATATTTACATATAAATATTTTTTTAAATGTCTGCCAATGAGTAAGTAAAAATTTACTACTTAAAGCCATGGCTAATGGCTAAATATATTGCATCTACTGGCAGTAGAGAAATTATCTAACAACATAAGGCATACATATGTATAACTACATCTACATATTTGCTAAAAATTCCCATTTATTGCCCATTTATTCTCCTGCTTACTTAAAGTATTTCAATGCAATTGCTTATATAAATGTTTCATATAAAGTTTGTATATGCATGTGCAGAGTTTACTTAAAGAGAGACTTTAATAACTCAAACAACGACTACTTCGAGCTCTCAACATGTTTGATGTGCAGTTTCCAGTCCCCTCTTCGGCCCTGCACTCAATCAAATGCTTTTATTTGAGCCCAAGTTGCAGCAGAGCTGGAGCAAAAGACAAGCGACGTCTATGAGCAGAGATTGAGAGAGCTACAGTGCCTGTCAATCATAACGAGCCAGCCCAGTGACATGCCTCACAAGGCAAGGCCAAAGGATAAGAGGCATGGACAGAGGTGGAAAAGGAAGGGGCGTGCCTTCAAATTGGATTTGCCACGTTACAAGGCGTTAACATACGCAAAGCACACACGCCTGAGCTTGTTTCAACTTTTTTTTTTTTTTTTTTTTTTTTTTTTTTTTTTTTTTTGTGTCAGAAGTTTTTGTACGTTGATGATATGCAAATACACAGGCAGCAAATTTGAGGCTGGACCCGTATTGCGGTGTATGTGTGTGTGTGGCTCAAAAAAAATATGAGCCATGCATGAGCTTCTAATAACACGCAGAAGAGCCGTGTGCAATGCGAGCGCCGGCGAATGTCGATACTCAGGAACAATTATTACACAGTGCAAAGGAGAGCGCCAGCCGAGGAGCAGCAGGAGGTGCAGCAGGCGGAGGGGATGGAGCACAAAGCAAATTCGCATAATTGCTGCCTTCCGGCCTTTTGAAAACTCATTTCCGGTTTGGCTGCTTCAGCTGCTGCAGCTGAATGTAAATTCTATGCCAATTTGTCGCTAGTCAATACCTCTCGCTCACACATGCTTCCTTCTCTCTCTTTTTCGCTTTGTATATGTGTGTGTGTGTTTTTCCAACATTAATTAACCCTAATTAAGTTCGCTGGTGCCGGACCGAGTCGACAACGCGGCTAGCTGCAAACGTATCTGTGTCTGTGTCCTCTCTCTCTCTCTCTCTCTCTCTCTCTCTCTCTCTCTATCTATATTGCTAGCCGTATCTGTAGCAGCTAAATATACAAAGTGTGTGCGGTATTGCTTGGCAAATGCTTTTGGGGCATTTCCAGTGAAAATGTTAAGCAACTGCCGCAGCGAATGTCGAACAAAGTTACTTAGTTAGTGCCGTGAAGGGCTGCGGGCAATTTTGTGACATTTAACAAGCATTTATTTAAACTTTTCCTGCCCTCTGTGTATTTGTGTGTGTGTGTGTGTGTGTGTGTGTGTGTGTGTGTGTGTGTGTGTGTGTGATTACTTCTGTGTGTCTACATCTGCAGTGTAAAACGTTTAATTTAAGTATGGAAACTCGTGTCAGCTGCAGCAGCTGTAAATAACATCCGGTTATGCGGATACTCGAAACACGAGCAAGAGCATCTCACAGTTTCTTGTAGTTGTCATCGTCGACTTTGCTGCGTATATCCTAAAGCTTGCGAATCTTTACTGCCTGCGTGTGTGTGTGTGCGTGTTTACTGAGTATATGTTGTGTATTCTTATGTACTGGCCCTGTCGTGTTGCCGAAATTGATATTTTAATTAATTTTTCGTATACAAAGTTCTGTGAACTTATTCATATAACTTTTAAATGACCAACTTTTACCTGAACCAAACACACCACAGCAACAACAAATTGTTTCATCTTTTCTTTTTCGGGTGTTTTTTTTTTTTTTTTTTTTTTTTTTTTTGATTCATTTATATACTGCCTGAAGCAGTTTTTGCCTTGTCTCCGTGGAGCTGTACCAACGGAATGAAGGGCAATATATGCGAGAGCTTACACTGCACAAATTCATCATATTCATTTCATTATGAATCATTAAATTGAGCAAAACTTAAAGGAATTAGAGTAATATTAAAGCAGCGCAATGTAAGTTCATATATCTTTCTTTCTCTCTATGTCTCTCTCAGTATCAATCCTTTTATTTCTCTCTATTTCTCTCTTTCTGTCATTACCTCTCTAGCTCTCTCTAACTTGTTTTTCTCTCTCTCTCTCTCTCTCTCTCTCTCTCTCTCTCTAACTCTCAGTATCTTTCACTCTCTGACTCTCTATTTACTCACTCTCGTTATTTCTATCACTATTTACCTCCCGCTCTCTCTCGTCTCTTTCTCTCACTCTGTCGCCTTCGCCCTTTATCTCTCGCTCTATCACTGCATCATTCACTCCCTCGCTATATAACTCTATCTCACTTTCTTTCTCTCTCTCACACACACAGTGATTCTCGCCTGTATTTTTCTCTCCAAGACAACATGGATTTATAGGAATACTTGCCTAGCTTCCCATTTTCTTCTCTTGCTTATCCATTTGTACTTTGTTCAGCCCTCTTAACATTCTTAACAAAGCTTACACAGTCTCTCCTTTGTTATTATTCGAAGTGTGGATGTTTAATATCAATTCTCTAACGGGTTAGATCGAACTTATGGTAATAATTGTGGCAGCCATTCGTGTTTGGGTGGCTAAGTGGAAGACTTATGTCCAGTTTCAGTACTTTGGGCAACATGGGCCGCAAGAAGAACCACAACAAGGACCACAACAAGGAGCACAACAAGGACCGCAACCAGGACCGCAACAAGGACCGCAGCAGGGTCCACAGCACGGACAGCAAGGGGGCCCGCAGCATGGTCCGCAGCAAGGTCCACACTTGCCGCAGCAAGGTCCACAGCACGGACTGCAGCAGGGGCTGCAGCATGGCCCACAGCAACCGCCACAGCAACTGCCGCAGCCTCCGCATGGACCACAACAGGGTCCACAGCACGGGCCGCAGCAGGGTCCGCAACAGCAGGATCCGCAACAAGGTCCGCAACCGCACGGTCCGCAACAAGGTCCACAGCAAGGGCTGCACATCTTCAATTCGCTAACTGAAATCAAAAAGGATCCATTTGAATAGATCCTACGAAATGCATTTTACATCTTGTGCCCAATGCGCTCACCTTCAACCCGTCAGAGAATTGAATATTGTTTTTGAATTTCGTGTCTTTGTGTATACAAATTTCAACACTATGAATAAACACTGTCAACTTAACATATACTAAAAAGTTCATTTGATATTATTTTGTTTTTATTGTAGACCTTCAATATAATTTTATTCCTCAGCCCATTGAAAGTCTTAGCTTGAATAGCTTGTAATTTGTCAAATGTCTCCGGAATTGCATGTGAGAGACGGCAGAAGGAAGAGCACACGGTATCTCCGAGTCGAGCTTCGACTCAGGCTTTCCTACTTGTTTCAATATATTTAGAAACTCCCAGCATTACCTATGTTTCCTTGTGTTGAGCTGTTTTGCATTAGTTCCCAAATCTTCAATTTGAATCGTAGTATATTCCCGAGCTCGAAGTGTGTTTTTCCTCTACAGAATTGGCAGCATTGTTGTCGAATCTGGCTGCACTGCATTTTCCAAAAAAAAAAAACCCCAAGCAAAGCCTCTGAAAATTGTCTGAGTGCCAGCTGGCCGAAGGGCAGGACAAAATTTGTGTTTGGCTTTGACAAATCACACACTGCTCCTGTCTTTCAACCGAATGGCGATAGCCCGCATTGGTGCCACGCCTTCGCCCAAATCCAGTTGCCAGCCCAGCCTCTCATTCCAGTTGAAGCGGCGAAGTCTCCAGCTTTTGTCACTGACAATTGAATGGCTTTGATCTTTTCAACGCGCCTTCAATTTTCCCGTGTCGATAGCACTGAGTCCCAGATGTATGAGTGTTATTCTCTCGCTCTGTGTGTGTGTGTGTGTGTGTGTATTGCCTCTGGCTGTGTGAGTGTGTGTTTGTGAGCGAATGTCATGCAGGCACTCGTGCGTCTATTTGTCAGCGGCGCAAAGGCGATAGGCAGGACTCGCCGATACGGCACTGACAATGGCATTGGATGCATGAAACCTTTTGTCAATTACGGCGGACGCCAACTCTGCTTCTACTTTTTGTGCCACAGCAACATGCCACACACCCACACAGACCCACGTGGGGCCACACACTCTGCCACTGACAGGCATAAAATAGGCAAAAATGGAATGATTGCTGATTTCTGGTACAGACGAGTGCCTCGGGCAGGTCTCTCATTCTGGCTGACTGAGAGTCGTGTATGGGCAAAACATATCCGCCGTACTGAGCACCCCTGCACCTCAGCACCCCTGCACCCCGTTCCCGCCCCCCTCACACTTAAATTGACTGACGCCGGTGACGCTCACCGTCGCGTCGCCCATCAAAAGGGACACAGCAATTAAATTGACGTACGAGTTGTCAAACTCAAATTCATGCGCCCTTTTAATTGGGGCACAAACACGGATCAAATCATTTATCCGCGGCCCTCAAACCATGGCCCGTAGCAGATTTTTTGCATATTGTTTCGAATTCTATGCAATTCGTTTGCTTTCTACCCCAATTTTAGTGATATTTTTTAACCTAATGGTTGTCGAAGAGGAAGACGAAGCTGATGAACACGATGATGGCGATGATAATGATGATGATTGAATAACAAGGCCAAAAATAGAATATTCAAAGATTATTAAGATTAATTAAGAATTTTCAGCAATTACAAGTCTAGATTTCAATATAGTTTAAAAAATAAATTATTCGAGCCTTAAAAATAAAATAAACTGATAATAATTATTTAGCACTATATTTTATTTTTCGTTATATTTAATCCCATTTCCATATTTTAATTCGCCTTTAAATATATTTTCAGCACTTCATATATTGATTAAATTATTTAAATATATTTGTTTTATTCATATATACATATATATACATATCACTTAAATAAATATAGATTTTCTGAGCCTATTTGTATGCATCATATTTTGGTTTTCAATTAGTTTAATCCCTGGCTCAGTGCACAGTTTCAAATATGCAATCAAAGATGTTGGAAAAAAACAAAAACACAAAAATTGATAGAAAATCACATTTCGTTGCCCCTTTTGTGGAATTTTTCCGAAAATTTCCATCTGACTGCGCATTGGGGTCAGGGCGAAAACCGATTTCAATTTCAAATGCAAAGAATCGATTTGGCGATACGCAAATTTATAAACAACGCGAATAACTGAAACTGTCAGCTGCAGGCGGCGGTAGCGTCAAAGTCAAAATCGAATTGTCCCACTGGGCGGCCCCGTTGTATTACCAAGAAATTAATTTATACCGTAAAGTGGCTTGGCGCACGTCAAAACTGAAGTCAAATGCTGCGCGAGGCGAGCTCCGGACGCAGCGAGACATTCCATTTGGAGCAATTGCCAGTTAATTGGCGATTTCGACAAATAACATGCGTAGCTGGCTGTGTGCGCTGTGCCCAATCGAATCGAAGCACCACCCTGGACCCACTCTCTGTGGGCTGGGTGGTTGAGTGCGTATTGCCAAATCATCGTCTGTGGCGCTGCCGCAAACAACAATCAATTTTAATGAACGCCATTCATTAAAAAAGTTTGCAGCGCAAAAATCAGCAGCATTGTGGGTGGTTGCTGCTGCTGATGGTGTTGGTGGTATGGTTGTTGTAGTTGTTGTTGTTGTTGTTGTTGCTGCTGCTGCTGAGTGGTGACGACGCGTGGAAGCCACTTAAACGGCGTTGATTAATTCGAAACCAAAAACTGACAGTCGCCACCAAACAATAGCACAGACACGCCATCTCCCGTCACCTGCAGCTGCTCTCTGTGTATGAGTGTCTGTATAAGTGTATGAATGTATGTGCATGTGAAGGTGTGGCAAGTCCTCTCCTGTCTGCCTAGCTGACTTGGCGGTTTTGTTAGGTGACGCGCTGCGGGTTCTCAGTGAATAAGCGTCAAGCGCATATTTGCCACATCGTCAATTAATGTTGTTGTTGTTGCTGCTGTTGTTGTTGTTGTTGCTGTTGTTGACATTGTTATTGCCGTTGCTGTTGCTGTTGCTGTTGCTATTGCTGCCAGTGGCATTGGGGTCTTAATAAAGCGCAAGCAAGCGCAGTTTGTCAATTTCGACTGGCGCATAAAACGTGCCACGAAATTATTTATTCATTTATGTCAAGAAATTTGACTAGGGTAGAAAAATTGGATTAAAGCAATATCTCTTCTAATTGCATTGATTTATTGTGAATGAAGATATAGCACAGCTCATAAAAAATGAATACATATGTACATAAACTGTTTATGTGATGGAATGGAGTTCATAAATTGGTTTAATTGATAAATTATATATAAGCATAATGCATTAGAATTACTATATTAGATAATACTACTGATCAAGGGCTATTGGTTAGCTAACATATTCATTGCTCACGAATATGTTTTACTTACAGTTCCTATAGATATATAGAGATAGATAGTGATCTATTAATGAGAGTGTGCGTGAATATATCGAAACAATAGAGTGGTGGCAGATGCCCACAGTCCATTATAGTTTAAGTTCGTATTAATACAGGGAAACATGTGGAAATTCATGTTCATTGAAATCTGAATACGAAATCTCCATATTCAAGCAAATATTAATATAAAATTAAGGTAAACTCCTGGCCTTTTAAATTACATTTTATCCACACGTTAAAAAGAGTAAAAAAATATTATTCATACTGATATTACTCATTGAATAATTCTTCTTCTTCCCTTGCGAGATATCTCTTTAAGACTGCAAGTTGTTTCTGGTATTATATAAATATATATGTATATATATATAATATATATGCCTTAGAGCTCAAACTACGTCATGGGTAATTGAAATGCTTCACACCTAGCAATTGAGCAGCTGTGCGAAATTCTTGTTAAGCTATGCTCATGCAACTTTAATGTGGCACGAACAGCTACAACATCGAATAATACAGTTCCACCCTCCGCCCACCTGCACCGCCCACATGCTGTTAATCACACACCTATTGAAGCGCTTATCTCACGTGTGCTTTGTACGTGACAAAGGCTCCGCCCGTGGCTCAAATCGTGGCTCAAATTGTCATTTCGATTAACAAGAATACAACTTATATAAATACATATGTGTATATATTTGGTTTTTCTGCTTTGTCCCAAATCAATTTCAGCATCGCATCCACAAACGAAGGCGGCGGCAACTGCCACGGCCGCAGTCACAGCTGGCTTCGAGGAGCGAGTGGTGGAGGCATCCTCGTCAGCGGCTCTGGCCCTACCGGCGGCTCAAGTGTCATCCCTGCTGCCCGAGGTGGGCGCCTTGTCGGCCACTGGGGTCCTGGTGGAGCCCTATCTGGACGGCTTTGCCACATCGAATGTGACCACGCAGATCGGCACACACGCCTATTTGCCCTGTCGGGTAAGTCGAGCAGCCTAATTGGTTTTACTGCTGCTGCTTCGTATTTCGTTCGTATTTCCATAATTTGTGGTTTGCTTTATTTGATTTTTATTATGTATTGTATGTTTTTTCTTGGATTGCGTGCTCGAGAGCTGCGTGCATGTTTTTATTTGTAATTATCAGTGCGCCACGCCGCCAACAGCCGCCCGCTGTTTGGCCATTAGCATCTCGTCCATAGGAAACGCATTAAATATTATTGCGTAAATATTTACCGAACGACTCGAGCCTCGAGGCATTCGGCTATGAGGTGTGACCGCGTCGTGTATTTAACACAAAGCTGAAAAACAAATGCCACCAATTTATGCCAACGGGCTGGCTGTGGGGCAGGCTAGGGGCGGGCTCGGGCTCTCTGTGTTTGCGCAGGTGTTTAAAGGTCAACGCCGTCCCACAGGCAGTCGAACATGCAAATTGTTTGCTTAGAGCTTGTAAATATTGTATTCCGCCCACCCACGAGCCGACGCAAGCGTAAGCTCAAATTAAATTTACACAAATTAGTTTTATGGCATTACGTGCTTTGTCCAAATTCAACAAACGATATAATATCCAATCATCTGAGCTGCAATCGAAAAACCCAGAAGGAAATGCCTAGATAAATAAAAACAAATAAGTCGACTAAATTGAAAACTTTCCTGGAACAGGAAATGCAACAAAAATAAAAAATAATAAAAGTCGAACAATTGAATGTTCTGGAAGTTGTTTTTTGAATTATCATGAATTACAGTTATATTGTATGAGTTATTATTATATTATTATTTATTTTATTATTTGCTTTTATGTCATTTAAGCAATCAATGATAGTTCACACGCAAGTGAAAAGTCATTGGGCTATGTCTGCGCTAGCTATGTTATTTTAAATAGTCTGAAACTCAAACATAATAAATATAAAATATAAAAAATATAAAATTAAAAAAAATAAGCAAAATATAAAAAAAGAAATACATAAAACAAATACATTAATATAACAATAATAAAATAATTAAAAGTGAAAAAATATATAAAAAAAAATCCTAAAGAAAAAACATTTCAAATAAATGAAAAAAAAATAAATTTATATATTTAAAAAAAAATCCTAAAGAAAAAACATTTCAAATAAATGAAAAAAATAAATTTATATATATATATATATATATATATATATATATATATAAATTTTTTTTTTTTCATTTATTTGAAATGTTTTTTCTTTAGGATTTTTTTTAATATATTTTTTCACTTTTAATTATTTTATTATTGTTATATTATATTATATATATATATATATATATGGTATAAAAATTAAAAATATATAAAATGTATATATACAAATAAATAATACTAGATTCAAATAAATTAACATTATAAGCTAATAAATAAAATAAAAAGAAAATAATAATAATAATGATAATAAATAATTTAAAAATTAATACACATAAAAATGCTAAATAATAATAAATAAAAAAAAATATATAAAATAAACACAAAAACTCTCCACAAGTTCAGCTAGCCAATTGGATCTCCAATTGGAACTCTTCATGCTGGTCGAGTATACAGTTATTTTGTATATGTATATATTCACATCTTTTTTCTAAAAACATTGAATTTATGTATAAGAAGAGCATATATTATTATTTCTTCTGCTCTTCCAGCAACCATTATTCAAATCAAATGATTACTGAGTCACATTTTTCTGATTATATGTCTGCCTTATATACTAAATATCTAAATATCCCCAGACTGTGCCGCCTGTAACAAGCTGTAATTATCACGCCCACTCTAAGTCATCAATTTTTGATGTGCCTTTGACAGTGGAGCAGCCGCAATAATTGGCTACCAGCTCAGAGGCAATGACAAAATGAAAGTCAAATTCTGGTCCAGCTGGCAGACAAATTGTGGAATTGGCCATTAATCGTGTGGCAGGCAGAGGCGGCTGCTGGCACTTGAAACTGCGGCATACATTTAATACAAGGCAGGGCAGGGCAAGGCAGGAAGCATCTTGTGCTGTACATTTAACAAAGAGAAGCAATGCTAATTTTTCGTTGTCATGGTCAATTAAGTGCCGGCACACCGAGCCCAGCTGTCACATGCCCCAGCATGCCCCAGCATCCCCCAGACCGTTCCATATGAAAGGAACAAAAAATTAAAAGCTCGCATCTCGATGTTTGTCAATTATGGGCACTGCCATTCGCTTCGCACTCGATGCTCCACGTTGTGGGCGGTGTTGCATGCGGCTCTTTGTTCAGCTGCCGCATTAAGTGGCACAGTTGAGCGACGTTATGCCTCCTGTCGAGACAACGAGCCGACGAGCCAACGAGCCATCGAGCCAACAAACGAACGAGCTAACAAGGAAGCCAACGGCTGGTAGAGCCGCTTTCAAATTTGCGCTCACTCCTGTCGCTGTCAGCTGAAGGACGATGAGTGCCGGCTTGGACTACGCTCAGGTAGCAATTGGGTTATTTAAAGTACTCCAAGCACAGCTTATTGTATTCCCACCCCCCTTCTTACCAGTGCATGTGTGTGAGTGGCCTTGCGCTCAGTGTGCATTGTTCTTACAGTGCCTGTGGTCAGAATCGAATGCAGCATGAATTTAATTAGAGAATATTTGCACCATAATTAAATCTGCTAGTTGGCGCCCAAACGAGTCCATTACAGTCGCATTACAGGCCAGATTGTTGTACTGGCATCTACTGCTGTTCACATATTAAATGACAAAATGTCGAATGGCCAAAATAATTTCCATGTAAATTTCGAAATCCAAATTTGGTCAGCTGTGTGTGTGTATGTCTGTGTGTACATGTGACTGTGCGTGTGTGCGTGTGCTCTAAATGCATTTTAGATTTGCAAAAAACAACACATTTCGCAAAATGCAACACATTTCGATAATATCTGGGAGGTATGGAACTAGTTGGGTCTTTGTTGACTGCTTGATGAGCTCCATATACATTTGGGTATTTAATTTAATTTCAATGTGGTTCCAGTGTCTAAGCTTTGTTTGTCAAGTTTCACATTTGGCAACATTAATCTACTCTCTGTCTGTTCGGCTACCTCTTGATTAATTTACTACCCAGCCAGGCTCAATACATAAGCCTACCTACCTTCCACACTTGTTGCTCTGTAAGTGCTGCCAAATCGTCATTTGAGTTTGTAATAAGTCTTTAATCAGCTCCGGCTCTTTCTTTGATATTTGTAAGGCTTTAAGTCAAATGCGTTTAGACTTTTACTTTTGAGTAAATAAGTCTGTGATCTAAATAAAAATATGAATAATTAAGAGTTTTTAGTATTATTTTTTAATACACTAATTAAACAATGAAAAAAAAATAAACTAAAAATTAAAAAAAAAAAATGAATTAAAAAGAAATAAATACATACAAAAATTGAATAAAATAATTAAATAAAATAATAAATAACATTAAATTAATAATAGATCTAAACGAAATCATCTTAAATTGAAGACATTTACTTTTATTATATTTAATATACCAAAGTGTTTTAAAACATTTTTATTAACTTCTTCAATCCATTTGTTTTTCACACAGGTTAAGCAGCTTGGCAACAAATCCGTTTCCTGGATTCGTCTACGTGATGGGCACATTCTCACAGTCGACAGGTAACTAATAGCCAAATATGGCCAAGTAAAGAAGTAATTATAAGTTCGAATTTCAAATTGATTTTTGATCCATTTGCTCAATTGTCTGGTATCGTGTATCATCTATGTTAAGTGCGCTATCACGTGGATTTGCTCGCATTGACACCCAATGGGGAGATGCTTCGAGTATATGCATTGGCATGATATTCATTACAAAACGGCATTTGCAATGCAAGAGACATGAATATATTAAATCAAATCAATTCGGCCTAATGAGAGCATTCATCATTATTATTGCATTGTGCCCGGTGGTTCGCTTAGGCATCTGAATACTAATGAATTCGCAGTGAATGTCTGCAGTCTGCAGCCAGTTGATAGCTTCAAAATGTCTATTCTCGTCAATGCCTCTAGCCTGAGTGGGCGTGTCTACATATGTGGGCGACAGCTGAGACATTGCACGTAGACATATATGCATTTATGACTAAAATTATTTTAGGCTCAAAGCATGACAATAATTAAGCCTATTTTCAAATTATTAGCTAAATATGCTTGAAGAGACTCGTACTATGGACTGAAACTGATTATGGACTTGCACTTGATATTCACAATTCAGAAACAAAGGCTTACTTAAGTAAAGCCCTGCTGCTCTACTCAATTCATTTAGATGTGAAAATATTTAAGATAAAATAGATCGAATTTATATATATAAATATATTATTTTTTTGCAATATACAATAATTTGCATCCAAAAAGAGATTCATATAAAGAGAATTTCTTTGACTCAATTAAAATGCGAAACACACTTCATTAGCTGCAAGAAATACAATGATGGAACATAAAGAGTATTTATTTATTCTAAGTGGAGAGTATGTTCACATGAGTGCGAGACGCAGCTGGAGGGTGCCAGTTTTTGTATTTTTATAAGACCCTTGTCGTATTGGATGCTCTGAAATTGTCGCAATGCAAAAACAATTTGCAGTAAATTGAATGAAGTGTGCCAAGTGGCAACGTGTATTTCAATTTCAATCTGTGTGTCCAATAACAAGCCAAGCATTGCGTCAGGTGAGTTCTCAATGAAGCCAGTTTGCAACGAGTACGCATCTCTCTCAATATATATATATATATATATATATCTATCTCTCTCCTTTCTCCTTGTGTGTGTGTTTGAAATGCCCTTTCATGCTCTGACATGCGAAGCGGAAACACAAGTGTGTGCAATTTCATTGCATTTTTCGAAATCCAGCAAAACTTTGCTTCAAAGTGGCTACGTCTTCAGCTAGGTTCTTCTGCTCCCTTTTTCCATTCTGTTGTCCTTTTATTTTTATTTTTTCCTTTTCGGACTGCATGCTGTTTTAGTCAACGTTTGCTATGTGTGTGTGTGGGGTGGAAACATTTCCAGCTTATTACTTTGATAGAAAAGTAAAACCAATGAACCTTTCACATTAGATAAGGCGGCTGCCTGTTTGTCTGCCAAACGGATGAATGGCTGCTCCCGAATGAATGAGTGTCCACACAGCAAGGATATATGAATGGGCACACTATCCGACAGCGAAAGAGAGACAGGAAGAGAGAAAGAGAGAGAGAGAGAGAGCGAGAGAGGAAGAGAGAGACAGACATCTCGACAGACAGTCAGGATAGTTGCAGCTGCAGCTGATGCTAGGCAAACACAGGAGGACCATTGAAATTAAGCCCAGATAGTGTCCTTACTGATTGCTTCCTGTGCGCTGCCGTCTGCTTTCGCTGCAGAGCCACTTCCGTCCTGGGTCGACTGTGTGCGTGTCCTTTCCTGCTCCAGTGTCTTATGTCACATTTATCTAGAAAGTTTTCTTATTCTGCTGAGCTCCGCAAGTATCTCACAGCCCACACACATAATGGAAATAGATTTCAGAAAAAAGTTTCACCTACTGTCACGTTGCAGCAGCACCCTGCTCAGTCCGTGTCCCGCTCAGCCAGGAATGTGCATTGTATAATAGCTCAAATGATGTGTTTACACTTTCATATAAATGTCACGTGCTTGGCGCCTTTTGTTTGCCCGCTGGACGCATCCCCCCCTTTGAATTTATTGCCTTCGCACAATAGATTACTTCTGTTTGCACTTGGCCCCATGTCCACACAAATACATACACTATATGCATACATATATATATACACACTCACATACATATGCGCGTACAACGATATAAATGTTACTGCTGCGAGACATTTCGGCCTGGCCCGTCCTGTCCTGTCCCGTCCTGTCCCGTCCTGTCTTCGCTCGTCCAGGGTCCAGGGTCCAGGGCCTGGGTAATTATGTCCAGGTGTTGCTTGGCTACTTGTTATCTGTTATCTTCGCACCTGGGATGCATGTCATTTATTTACCTGGGGGACTGCTTAATACGCAATCAGCCCGCAGACGGTGCTGTGAAACATATTCTTGGTAATTAAGGCAAATATTTATATATGACAGCTGAATGGAAACTTTTGCTTGTGGATTCCAGCATTGGTTAGGCCAGAGTTCACTGTACTAAGCTGTGCTCACATATGCTTTCATTATGTATTCTCGATTCGTAAAAATGTATTCTAGGATATTTTCTTATAATATTATATATGTAAAATATGCGACAAGAAATCCTGAGAACACAATCAGAAATAAAATATATTACTTAAGTTGGCTATAATTTTCCACTTTAACTTAGCCTAGACTGTATCTCACTTTAATTCTTTGCTCATAAAAAGAGAGAACAAAAAAGCATTAAAAACTTTGCTATTCTTCTAAAATAATAACAATATCGTTAAGTAAAACTGCTTCAACTTTTCTATATCGTTTTTGTTTTTCAGTTTTAAGCCAACTTTTAGTAGAACGAAACCCAATCTCATATGCGTAAATTTTTAGTGTTTTATTTATGCATAGTCTATGTATAGCTATTTTTTTCATGTCCTGAAATCAGAAAGTCTTGATGAAACTTTTTATGAAATCCACATTTTTTGTGCTTCCTATTGGAGTTCAGCATTAACTGCGAGTGAAAAACTTATGTTGTTACAGGTCACTTCCTGACCAAGAAAATGTCTAAAAACCGGACACGAGCCAAAGAAATGCAGTGAGGGGAAATGGAATGTTGTAAAAATATGGAAAATAATGTGGGGAAAACGGCAGCCGGTGCAGGGCAAAACTTAAAAACGAGATGAAAATTATAAAGTAACTACAAAATCTGGATAAGAAATACTGCTATAGTGGAAAAGCACAGTTGTGGATGGTGGCACTGAAAGGGGAATGAGACGAGGAGTGGGGAGTGGGGCGCAAAGGAAATGGCAAAAGTCATAAAATGTCGAGTTTTACGAGTGCAAAACGCAAGGGTCTAATCTGGGTTTAGTATCAAAACTTGTTAGTGCAAGGCGAAAGGAGCGAGGGTATACGAGACAGAGAGAGAGAGAGAGAGAATGAGTGAGAGAGGTAGCGGGTAAAAGGAAGAGGCCAGAGCTGAGAGTTTGAAGCAGACTGCCTAATAAGCAATGTCATCGCATGTGTGTTTGTGTGTGAGTGAGGGGGGGGTTGGTGGGTAGGCAAGGGGGCGAGGCGTGCTATGAACGCTTTAGTTGCTGCACTTTCAACTGGAGACGGAAGCATTTTTGCACTTTGCACAAATGGCAGAGGGAAATTTCCAAGCAAGCGCCGCACAAAAATATTGCAACAATGACATTAAATGCAACTTATTTCAGTGGACCCACTCACCATCCAGCCACCCAGCCACCCAACCACCCAGCAGCCACCCACTCATTTGCATGCTACGCAATTGTTGTTTGCTGCATACAGTTCATACACAACTTTGTTGTAGTTGCAGAGAGACACAGAGAGAGTGAGAGAGAGAGGGTGAGAGAGAGAGAAGAGAGTGGGAGAGAGGTGAGGGGGCATGAGGGGCCTTTGTTTAAATGCCGCAACTAAATAACTTTGAGTGTCTTTTGAGTGGCCATTAGCAGTGGAGCTTAGCGCGTAAGTGGGCCTGTATTTATTGTCGTTGTTGTCGCTGTTGTTGTTGTTGTTGTTGTTTCCTTGCCACTTAACAGTGTTGCACATGCAGCATGCCTCGCATTAACTGCTCTTTGCATTCGGACTCTGTTCCCTTTGCGTGTAAGCCAAAGGATTCGTTTAAGTTCTTTGTGACATTTTTTGTTACTGGGGGAGGAGGGTGGGAGTTGCCTTTAATTGTTGTGAAGCTGATAGATCGATAACAGCTGCAGCTATAAACATTGCTTGCTATTTATATTGGAATAATATTTATATTTAACTAGATGGACATATTAATTCATTTACATATCTCACTCCATTGCAGAGCCGTGTTCATTGCGGATCAGCGCTTTCTCGCCCTCAAGCAGCCGGATAAATACTGGACGCTGCAAATCAAATATGTGCAGGCGCGGGATGCGGGCACCTACGAGTGCCAGGTCTCGACCGAGCCGAAAGTGAGCGCGCGCGTGCAGCTGCAAGTTGTTGGTAAGTGGCGACGTCCTTGGGCAAGGACATGGACACTGACACGGACATGGGCGGGAGCCTGAGCCTAGAACTAGTCCTAGGGCTGCTGCGAGCCAGAGCATATTGAGCGCATGCAATTAAGGCATTATACAGAAGGTCAAGCAGCGGCAGCAAGCAGGCACACATTTACTATATATATATTGTATATATATATATATACATATTTAGCTTATATATAATATACAAATACACATGAATGTGGGGAAAAGTTTTGTGGCTGAACCTTGGCCCAGGGCGACGTTATGCACAACTGAACAGGAACACAGACAGACAGCCGAAAAGGAGCTGCACAGCAGGGGGCGTACGTGTGGTTGGGGGTCAAAGGGTCACACACACACACACACATGCCTAGAGATCTTTGCATCTTTCATGCGGCTGCTGCATTCGCAATTGCTCACAAAATTGCATTCAAATTGCGGTGCCTGCTGCATTTCCATTGAAAACTCTTTTTTGACCAGAGCAATTTTTGACCAAGTTTTTTAACGAGAAAACTTTTGTGTGAGCTTCACTTCTTGGGTTTGTTAAGCACACACAAACACACACACACACACACACTAAGGCACACTTATGGCACAGTCTAAAAAAGTTAATTAAATTTCATGTTTGCTCACACAAAACACACACACACACACACACAGACCGAGGCACACCGCACCCATAAACTAACTCACAAATGACCAGTGTGTAGGCGCCTTTGGGGTTAAATAAAATTGGAAGCGAGCCTGTGTATTGCTCACTTGTAATTGATAATAAATGCTTTGAACACAAGCTGAATGGATGAAAGTTTGTGCATAAGTTTTAAGTGCTGAATCTATTTAAAAGAAAACACAGAAAAGCTGCAGTTGGGGGAAATTATAAAATTTTTTTTATTAGATTAGGAGGAAGGAAACTTGGAAATCAATTAAAGGACCAAATACCTCTATGTGTTATATTACCACACAGATTTGCAAATATCATTCGAATTTTTCTGTTTATCTAAAATGAGTTTTCTGATTCCATTTACATGTTTACATTCCTAATTTATGCATGTAGCTTTGGGAAGTAAAGTCGAAAAAAAAAAAATCGAAATGTAGTTTCCTTGCTAATAGCCGAGCTGAATATAATTTTCACAAAACACTTTAACTTTTGTGTGGAACAAGATAACGAGCAAAAACTAAGCAAACCTAACAGAAAAATCCGTAAGGATATGGCGAGCGCAAAGGATGCTCAGCGCAGACTCGATAATGCGCTGCCAGAAGTGATTTTCGCATTTCCGGTTGAGCTAATTTGTATGCTAAGCACTTGTTCCCCATTGTGTATATTCCCGCGCGCGTGTGCGTGTGTCTGTGTGTGTGTGTACGGTAGTGTGACTAACAACGGGACATCACTGTAAGGTAACAGCAGCGTCCAACAGGTATTTCAGCGTTTCGGCAACTCCTGCCAACCGCTGGACAAAGCCTGACGGACAACTGCTCCATGTTTTGGTGAGGGGCGTGGCAGCGGGGCGCCAGGGGACGGAGTTGTGGTGGGCAGCGGGTGTAAATTATGTATGCGTGGCCACATTTTGCGTTAATCTAACGACAAGTTGAACGCGTAAAGGATTTCCATGCGTGCCACACACAATGGATGTCGCCCAGGGCAGGGTCAGGGGCAAGGCATAGCGAGGGGATCACAGCTGCAGGCTTCAGCCATTTTTTTTCTAGTTTGGCCCCAGAAACCGTGCAGCGGTCCATTATTTGCAGCCATTTGGCACAGTGCTGGCTTTGTCTGGCTGCTGTTGGCTGCTCTCCTCTATTGCTCGCCCTTTCCTCAGCTCCGTCTCATTTTCTCTCATCAGCCATAACCATTATCGGCAGCACCTAGTTGCCTAGTGGCTGCTCAATGCGCTTCCTCAGTTTTTCCTCTAGTTGTTCGCTTTGTGGCTCTGCTCGTTTTTTGATTTTGTGCCTTGCCATGTAATTTGTATTTATTGCATCGTTTTGTCTGTGCAAACGACTAAAACTCCCTTTGCATGTTGTCGATTTGCGAACCTCTGCCGCAGTCCCACCCCCCCCAGCTCTCTCTCTCTCTCTCTCTCTCTCTCTTTTGCTATGGCCCAATTGCCAATGTATTTTATGCTTGGCTCCGTTTGCTTTTCGCCTGATGCTTGATTTCTGAGCCCTCTTGGCCGTTGGCTCGTTGGGGTAATGGGATCGTAGTTTTCGGTCAATTTGTTATGCCAATGTGTGTGTGTGTATGTGTGTAAATTTGTTTTTTTTTTCCTTATTGGTTAAAATGTCAGTTTCTTTGGCTTCGGCTCATTTGGCTGATGTTTCAGCAGCACAATGACCAAAAAAAAAAAAATGCGGTTACACGATTTATCGAATGTTATATCGAACATCTATTAAAGGTGTGAAATCATGGAACTCTCTCAAAATGGAACAGCTGCTGGTATTTATTTTATTTTTGCACATTTCAAATATACATACATATCTCCTCGCATCCATCTAATCTTTCCAAATACACCAAACAGCTTTTCACACACAAAATTCAATTTCGGCCCATTGTGCGTTAATACACGCACCCGCACCCGCACACACACACAGACACACACACAGCCATTCGAAATGAATGAATTTATTTTTTTCTGCATCATTGAACGACAAACTAGATTTGGTTTTATGAGATTTGTTTTCTGCTCATCTCGCTGGGCTGCCAGCGCCGCTTGCCATTCATTTACAGAGGGAATTTGGCTCTGTTCGGCCGCTTATTTAATTTGCTGCTAATCTTATATGTTCAAAGCCGATGCTTTGTGGGCTTGGCTGTCAACTGTTTTTCCTTTTGACGCTTTTGGTTTTTATCTCGCCATCAAGAGTGACAATTCCGCCGTAATGCTTACGGCCAGCGGCTGCCTCTGCACATAGCCGGGCTGCACATTTCAAACTTAACTAATTTCCCTAAAAGCATTTGGCAATAAACCCAATTAATTTAAGTTGCTGTAATTCGTTTCACACTATGCCACGACCCGCTCCTCTCCTTCCCCCGCACAAATTTCTTTCTTTTGTTCAGCTGAAAATTAGCTCAAATTGTGAAAGTTTCCTTCTCTTTTTCCCTGTTCTTCTTCTCTGTGGTTTCGTGGCTTTCCTGGCGCTTATCGCTTAGCTAATCCCCAATCTGAATACTTCCATAATTAACTTAAACGAAGCCCATTCTTATAAGGAATAATGTTTTGATAGCGATTTATCGCATCGAATTTTTATACCCTGAACCCATTGAAAATGGGAAATCAGGGTATAATGGTTTTGTGAAAAAGTATGTAACGGGCAGAAGGAGGCGTGGCAGACCCCACAAAGTATATATATTCTTGATCAGCGCGACGAGCTGAGTCGATATAGCCCTGTCCGTCTGTCCGTCCGTCCGTCCGTCCGTCCGTCCGTCCGTCCGTCCGTCCGTATGAGTGCGTCGATCTCAGAAGTTATAAGAGCTAGAGAGCTGAAATTTGGCATGCATACTCGTGTGTACCATACGCAGTACGAGTTTGCTTTATTTTTTCGATAACTCATCCGATAACTTTTTTATCGAGATAAATCGAAAAATTGATTTTGTTTTTTCAGCCTAATTTTAACACTTTCAGACCTGGAGTCTTCAAATCTGCGTTGTATATAAAGTTAATGGATACACAGATTTTGTAGTTTACAGATTTTGGATACCACGCCCCCTTCGCCCCCAATTTGTAAAAAACGCATTTCAAGTACTAGAGACTTGTGCTTTGGAATGTACACACATATTCATCATATAATTACACTCTAAAAGTTTCATTAAGATCTTATGTCTACAAAAGAAATTATTCAACAAATAAGTTCTCATAATATTGCCCACACTGCAGCGCAGCCCAAGCGCATTCGCTGCTTACTGCGCAGTTAGCAGAGCGTCGGCTTATGCGTGCGTGTGAATGCATGTGTATGTATGTGTGCATAAAAGAAGTGCAGAATGATTAGAATATCAGTTTGGAGGGTTCAGGGTATCTCCTAGTCGAGCAGTCTCGACTGGAGCCTTCTTACTTGTTCATTTTGTTGTTTTTTTTTTCTCTTTTCTTTTTTTATTTGAGTACTTGAAATGGAATTTTGCTGTTTGCTCCATCTTGATTTTTCAAACTTCCAAATGGATTTTTCCTTTTGCGAATTAATGCAAATTTGATTTTGTTTTTATCTAGAAAGTTTAATACTCCTTCATCTTTTCTGATTGATTTTTATTCATAAATTGTTTATAATCTCTTAAGCTCTGTGCTCTTTCTCAATTATGAGAAAAGTCTGTGGTTGATTGAATTAAAATCTTTTAGTTGGAGTATGAAAATATTTTAGTTTAGCTGCTTAATATTTAAAACCTAAACTAAATTCATAGTATACTCAGTTTATGCTATGTAATTCTGTACATATGTATTTTGTTTTATTTAGTTTTTCGAATAAAAATTCAGAGTGAAATTCTTTGTGGTTGGGCCAAGGGACGGTGGCTAATAATATTGCATATCCGTTTAGCTGCGACGCGCAGCCACAGTCAAGCAACTGGAAAACCAACATGCACAGCGCGACAATTTTGACAGGCTGACACAGTTTGGTGTCAAACCAAAGGCAAAGAGCCTTCACACACATACTCATACGCGTACGCATACGCACACACATATGCTGGCACATGCATGCGAGCAGACAGAATGTTGTGCGAATTCTCAGCACATTCAATTTGCGCAGTTTTGTGTGTCTAACAGCAGTGTAAACCCGGCGTATACGTGATTTTGTCGAATTCGCCAGCGCACGTTGCCGTTGGCCAGTCAGTTGGGCATGGGCGGTCGCAGGGTGGGGCGGGGCGGTAGCAGTCTACAAGAAACAGCGCGTGTGATGTGCAAATGTGTGTGTGTGTGAGTGTGTGTGTGTGGCAATAATTTGAACTTGCGTCCATGTATTTTTTATAGCATTGGAACTCGCTTTTTGACACAACTTGCCACAGACAGCGGCATAGTTTGTTATGCATGTGCGTGCCTCTCCCTTATGAGTGTGTATGTGTGTGTGTGTGCGTGTGAGTGGGTAACTGATGGCATCAGTAAGTGAAAAATTGAAAAGTGAATTCGGCACAGCGCGAGCAATGCCTCCTGCCCCGCCCCCCTGCCCCTGCCCCTGCCCCAGCCCCAGCCTGCATGAAACGCGAAGGTGCGCAGATTTACGTGTGCGACGTGACTAGCAGCTGTTAATTCAATAGATTAGCGCCAATGTCACAATTTCACACAGGCACGCGCCGTATTTGCCATTGAGTTTCTCTCGTAATGAGCACCGTCATCATCTCCAGCAGCAGCATCATCAGCATCGTGCTCATTATTGTCATTGTATGTCTGATGGCGTTTGGTATTTGTTACAGTTCCTCGAACCGAAATACTCGGCGAACCGGATCGCTATGTCAAAGCTGGCAGCAATGTCGTCCTGCGCTGCATTGTGCGCGGCGCCTTGGAGCCGCCGACGTTCATCATGTGGTACCACGGCACCGAGCAGCTGGCCGCCGATTCACGACGCCATCGCACGCAATTGGACCCGAATCTGCCAGAGGCCAGCGGCGAAGGGCAGAGCACGGTGAGTTCCATCAATTGTTCCCTTGTTGATTTTAATTTAATTACACTTGATTTCAAATTTCGTTGTCCGTCTTCCGTCTACCATCATCCGTGTTCCGTGTTCCGTGTTTTGGCCACGTGGCCACGTCCTTCGGCGTTCCGCATCAGCGAAATTACAATATTACTTCACACTGCTCGCATTTATGTCACATGCCAGCCACGCCCCAAAGCCGTCTTAAAGGCAAATGTCGCTAAAATGCTGCAAATTAGAGCTGACCTCTTGGCAGACGTGACTCGCAGACTCGTTAAATATTTAGCCAACGTGTCGCCGAGCTTGTCAGAAGCGTTGCTCAGACCTGACATTTCAATTGCGATTTATCTCCAGCTTTCACGCCAGGGAGCTCTTTGCCTTGCATAAATACATTTATTGTACACAAATTTACATTTCTACATTTCTATTTCTCTTCCTGAAATCGCACAAAATACTCAGATCGGCTCATTAATCATCGAGTCGGCCAAGAAGCGGGACACTGGCAATTACACTTGTAGCCCGTCAAACAGTCCCAGTGCGACGGTCACACTCAACATAATAAATGGTAAGTATATATATATATATATATATATATATATATATATATATATATATATATATATATATATATATATATATATATATATATATGTGTGTGTGTATATAAAAGACTCTTATATATGCAATTCAAACTAAATCCAAGGCAGTGTCGGTTTAAGTTTGCCGAAAGCGAGCAAACTTTAAAACTATTTGAAGCAGATAGCATCTAACTGCCATTAGAGTTGTCATAGCCCAGCTTACGCCGAGAATAATGAACATAATTTTGGAATCAGAACAGCAACACACAGGCAATACAACATATTTAGCTTTGTGTAGACCAATTTAAAATAATTTCTTGATGCACAAATTTAGCCAAGTCTAATGAAGCTGCTGAATATTATGGTGTTATATATTGGAATGCTTTTTTACATATGTATATAACAGCTCTCTCGTTTATATTGCTTATAGAACTAAATTCTATACGAACAGTCATGAAGATGCTTTGCATAAAATCAAATAATCAGACAGGCTAAAAATAAACAATGGAGAAAATATATTAGAATACAGATGAGAAAAGAATACTCTCGACTCTCTGCTACTATTACTACTACTAACATGCATATAAGATGACGGTCAGCTTATGCCTGATAATCCATTCTTATTGCGTCTTTCCAGGAGAATCTTCGGCTTCGGCTGTGACGTCATCGGCCCCCATCACACGTGCATACACACTGTGCATTCTCGCTTTGCTGCTGAGCGTTTTCCTGATCGGCGTGGGACAACCGACATGACGAGTCCAGGGCGGAGGCGAAAGGCAGCTGAATTAAAACAAAAGACAGAACTACGTGGAAAAACTCATAGAAGCAAAGAAAAAGAAAAACGCAGCCAACAAACCAAATTATAGAAAAGCTAAATCGAACAAAAAATATGCAGGAAATATTAAAAACGAAAAAAAACAAATCGAGTGCATATTGTAATTGTAGTTGATTTTATCTGCTAATTTATCTGTAAGAAAGAAAATAATCATAAAAACAAGTCGAAAAACTTCTGAGAGGCAGCAATGGTAAGAGAATGCAACTAAATTGTAAGTACTACGAGCTCTAAGCAACTAGTCCTAAACTCTAACCTAAGCAGGCGAACGTATGCACACGCGCATTTACGTAAATATATATAAATACATAATATATATGTATATGTATATCATATTTATGTACATGTATATGTATATCTGTTTACATTTATGCACTGGCATTTGGTTGTTGTGTATTTGTGTGTGCGTGTGTGTGCATAAATGTATAAACGTAAATATTTATGCAACATCAAGTGAAATTGCAAGGATATTCTTATCAGCCAAAGCATTGCTATTCAGACAAACGGAAGGACAGCGAGCGAGTCCAGGCTCCAATCGAATAAAAAATAATTTTTGATATTTTCCAATAAAGCGCATGCAGTTGGGCAACTCGAATGCATTTTCATTGCAAAGTATTTACGAGTGCAGTCAAAGAGAAAGACACAGACAGAGAGAGAGAGAGAGAGAGAGAGAGAGAGAGAGAGAGAGAGAGAGCGAGAGAGCGATGCAGAGTGACAGTGAGAGAGTCAAGCATGCTGCATTATTCAAAGGCTATCATGTGTCCTTTACCTTGTTTGTCTTTCGTTCAGCTCAGCTCTGTGCATTGCATTTGAAACATTTCTCAATAGCCGAAGCACTTGGCTGCCCCACAGTTCATTTATTCTCAAGCACAAATCAATTTTATTAAAAATGAAACGATGAGAGCAATGCAACTAAGCTGCCAATTCGATTGAAAGCTGTTAACAATAATTTCAAATTTCCCGTAGAATAAATGCATTCGAAATGCTTGGGCAGGAACACAGAAAACTATGCAAAATGTTATTTCATATGCCATGTAATATTCAATACTTTTTTTTTTTACATACATAGCTCAAACTTAATTTGCGTTATGTTTGTTAAGTCACAAATACATTTGAACAGCCATATTTTGCCAGCTCTTATCTCGACATAAAACATGTGCGAAACACACAGAAATTTACATAAAATAATGGAAAAAATTATAGCAACAAAATATATATATATACAAATATATATATTGATTGAGAGACTCACATCAATTTGTATGTTAGCATTAAGATAAGTGTATATACAAAAAATGAAAACAACTCTATGCTGGTATGTGTATAGCAAGCATGTAAATTAATTGATTATAATGGAATAAAAAATATTACAAATTCTATATATATATATATATATAGATATATTGTATGTGTAGCACACAAGAGTTAAGCGCGGAGTATTCGAAATACTTATAAATTGCATTTAAAATGTTATGAAACAACAGCCAGAAAATCTCGTAAAATTTATAGAGAGTGCAGAGTTCATTGTGTATGAAGCAGCAGGCGAATTGCATCGATTTCGATTTATTTACGTCCTTTTATAATTGTGCAAAAGAGAAATAAAACAAAAAAATAAAAAACGTAACACAATATTTATGTATATGCACGGACCGTACAATAACAACACAGATCCATAAAAATTCCCAATTTAATATGAATGCAAGGAAATGTGTCTTTTATTTGGATTTTACACGCAGCAATTGCGAGTGCGAAAAAGAAAGCCAACAAGTTAATGCGCGGAAAAATCAATTAAACGCTTAATTGCAATTAGCCGCTGCACACGAACTTAAAGTCCAAATAATCGAGTATACATTCATTATATGCAATACAAATAAACACACACATACACACACATACACTTATTTAAACAATGCGCATCGCCTGGCAATTGTCATCACGGGGCGTATGAGTAACCAGCCTGTCGCTCATTAATAAAATCCAACCACAAGCAGCTGCAACTAAATGAGGCAACAACACTGTGGTAAACAGCCCGTGGGGCCACGCAACTCTCCCAGTCTCCCACCTTCTCATCCTCAGTTACATTCATCGAATCGTAATTTTTGTTGCTGCTCGCCTTTCATACTTCACACTCTTTTCAAGGCCTCTGCAAATAAACACGTAACAGATGTTTGCGGTCTCTGCGGTCAGCCGTCTTTGAGATGCAGGAAAGTCTTCACCTTTCACGCCTCGATTTTAATTCCTTTTAATTGAACTCCCCTCTCAACTTAAATAGCAAACTATTTAATCCAACACCCACTTCAATGTTGAGCCATGCATTTTAGACCGTAAGTCAAATCGATGGTATAGCGAATATATATATATATAAATATATATATAATTAACTATAAAACGAAATCAAAATACATTTCTAAGTCCTTAAGTGTTTTTCATAAAATTAATTAAAATGTGACCCGAGGCCAGCTTAGTCACATCTACTTAATTAAACTAATTAACTTAATAATCGTCTGACGCCCTAATCGAAGCAAGTGCAATGCAAAAACAAAAAATAATTATAAAAAAATAAATAAAATCAATACGAAAAAAACTGCATTAGCAAAAACGTTAAATCTACTTAACTGTAAATATAACATATATATATATGCCATTAGAGCGCGAATGCATAATACGAAACGATAAATTTTAACAAATTTAAAATAATACATATACACTATACATATACATATACAGTTATGTGCGAACATATAGCGAAATTACCGTTAAGTACCAACTAATTGCAGCAACAAAAGAAAAACAACGTACTTATATATGTAAACGAAAATAAACTATGTGAAAACTCTCAACTGAGAAAATTTATTGCATTGAATAAATAATAATCTGAATAATTAACTAACAAACACAGAAATCATTTTTCATATCCTGATTGGCATGCCGTTATTTTAAAGAAATATATTTATGATTGGAGCAATGAGACTGGAAAATGGGAGCGAAATCTATTTGAGCCTTGACTCTTGGCATTTTACAGTTGCTGCAACAGTGGAAGGTGGGCGTGGGGAAGATCACAGATCAATTGGTAAGTTGCTCTACCTACTTGAGAAAAATGTAAGCTTTGAGTAAGTTCTGTTACTCTTTAACTTCTCAGCGCTTAACGAATTATTCAGAATTCTTTTAGTTGTCAAAGAAGATTAATCAAAAGCTCAGCTTTTATTATTAAATGCCATTGTGCTAACATTTGAAAATTTCATACATATTAAATACAGAATTTTACATACCTTTATAGAAGAAATAATAGTAAAATAAATTTAATATTTAACATTAATACTTCAGATATAAATATGGAATTTCGCATATATGTTCACAATTTTTTTTTTTTTTTTTTTTTTTTTTTTTTTTTTTTGGAAAAAAAATATGTTTATAAAAATATATTACATGAAATTAAATTAAATATAGATTTTTCTTAAAATATATTTATAGCTTATATATTAGAAGACTTCAGAAAACTTTCCAGCGAACATTTTACACATACAAAACTAATATAAGGTACAGATTATTCCAAATCACTTTAAACTTAAAATACATTTCACCTATGTCGAGGCGTACTTAGACAAATTGAATACCTCTCTTAAATAGAGACTTCACTGATGGGCAGTAGCGACTGGGATACGGACTCGATGATAATTTGTCGCGATTGTGCGCTTGGGGCAAAGCCTCGCACGACCATGGTCATTTGAGCATTCTTTTTGCCACGTGCCACCAGCTGACCCACAGCATAGGCCATCACACGGCCCGTCTCGCGCTGCACGGCTATGGCTGGGACCAGGCTGAAGATGACCGAGTCGACGCTGCTGCCGCGCTGCTCGAGCGGACAGTGCATCGCCTCGGCCAGTTTGTGGGCCATGGTGTAGACTGAGTCCTCATCGACCTTGATGCCCAGGTCACAGCTCTCGACGGCGGTCGTCAGAAGGCGGCGTGTGATATCCACGATGTTTATGTTGCAGGCCAGCTTCATCAGGCAGTTGGCAGGAGCTGCAGTCGACTCTCTGATTGTGTTCAATGTGGCTTTCGTAATGTTGCGCTGCGTCTCGTGATCAACATCAATCTGTGTCACGAATTCACCCACATCATGATTTTGTACACCTATGAAATCGGGCGAGCGGCCTCGGCTGCCTAGGTTTTCGTTAAGCCCATGGATGTACCACTCGAGCGTGGGCTTAAAAGGCGTAGCTATGAAAGTATTTGTCACTGCCTCCACCTTAAGCTCGCGTAAGTTTCCAGTCATAATAATCTAAAAGAAACATATCTATAAAGTGAAGCTTTCATTTATATTATATTACATTATAGGCTTACGATTTATTAAATTGGTAGAAAATGGCTTACAAATAACTTAATTATGTTTCTTGCTTTAATAGTAAAGATATAACCTTGTTCATTTTCAGTGTACTTTTCATTCATAATAAGAACTATCGATATTTTTTTACATATCGTAAAGAAGAGTTGCACTGGCACGTAGACACAGCGATATTTGCATAAACCTATCGCAAAGGCTAGACATATTTTACCATACCTAAAATCGAAAGGTGCAATTTGTCAGATACAAATACTATTTTATAGCACGATTGAGTGATAGTAGGTTATGCAAAGCGAACAGCTGATTTGACAGCGTGACGTCATTATTTCAGAAAATGGTGGGCGCGCGTTTGAATTTGTATGAAAATCAAGCAACTTTGACACTGTTATTTGTCTTAAAACTAGTAGACTAAATAAAACGAATTGGGCGGCTAATCACATGTTCTATATAGATGCACGAATCGGAAAATATAAAGGTTTTTGCTAATTTTTATACGCTAAGCCGTTTTCTAAGCAGTTACTGATCATGCAATCCCTTGACCACTTTTACTTTTGTATATAATGGATTTAACCTTACTATCTAAGGCTTGAATTTGTAAAACTAAAGAGTTACTACTAAGTATTATGCATTTCCCATCAATCCGCATCATTATATGTACTAATTTCATTCTTTATAATACAAATCCGATGGCCATAGATGATACGCAGCATTGTTAGCTTCTGTCTAGGTTTTAAGAGCTGATTCAGGCAGATTATGCGTTTCCTTAGGTTTCAATACACATAATCATACAAGTTTACGACCTGACAATTAATACACAAATTTTATTTCACTCCACTGGATGTTTCTGACATGACAGCAGGTGTAGCAGCACCTTTATTGATACCGCTTCAGCGTGTACTATATTTGAATGTGTAGGTAAATTGGCATAAATAAACCATACTGATGGCAAGAATCCGGTTAACTATGTCCATCAATAATTCCTGCTAACTTATTGGCCATTTTGGCCATATCATTGCTGCATTCGAGAGGCTTCCCAGTTCATTCCATTGTGTACTTAATTTCTTTATTGTATGGTAATAAAATTAGTGATTGACCATTTTTAAGGTATTTACTATTGAAATTTTTTATATATAGTTAATTTTGGTTGTTTTGGACGACTTAGTCGATCTCTGCTGAAATGCCTTCCAAGTTTCAGCCGGGATAACATAGCAAAATCTGATAATGTGACGTCACAAGAGAGCTGTTAGTTAACATTAAAAGTAACGGGACTGCTCTTTGCGCAACCTACTGTGTCTTTTAACTAGTGATGTAAATTTGGGTCGAAAATTCGATGTCGATGTTCATCGATGTTTGCAAAATGATAAATCGATGTTGTGTAAAACATCGGCTATAAACATCGATGTATCGATGTTTTCTACCAATTCCGTTATTTTTCGTTAATTCAATTCTTAAACAACATTTCTTCAACATTTTGTTCTATTTTATGAATGGACCGCAGGTGGTCCTTCATGTTGGTCGTGTTACCCGCAATCTTCAAAACTTTGTTGCAAATGTTGCATTTCGCGCTATTTCCATCAATTTTGTAAAGTGCCTCCAGCAAAAGCTTGTCTTTGTTGTTATTCTAGAATAAATACATTTGTAATTGCAAATAACTATATTTATATATATTTTCAACAATTTACTTACTTTGGCATTGCAAACACAGGGTAAAAAAAAGAAACAAATTCGCGAATTTTTCTATGTGGCAGTGTATCCATATGTTCTGCAATGTTGTGAAATTTAACGCCCGATGTTCTGTCAAACATCGATGCATCGCTTAACATCGGTATCAATAAAAACATCGGAAAACATCGGAAAACATCGCCAAAAAAACATCGATTGTCGATGCATCGATGTTTTTTCACATCACTACTTTTAACAGTGATTTTATAGCTTATATGTATACTACCAAAAACGAATATGTTTATAAATCCATCGATTGCTTCCGGAAACGACAGGGTATTACAAATAATAATACTCAAATATTCTCAATGTGAGCAAGTTCTTGGTGTAGTACGAAGACGTACATATTGCCAACCTAATCCAATTTTCCATGCATGGCATGGCATTGAGTCATCTTTAATAATGCTTCCAGCAAACACGTACATACATTCATATGTACTTATGTATACAGTATACAGGTACGTGCCAGAACACAGGTAGGAATTCATCGGCTTGAATGTCGATTTAACCTCCTTCCGGAAGCTTGTAAATACTACGCATATGCATACATGCATATGTATGTATGTGAGTGCATGTGACAGTATGCGCGTATAAAATATATACACAGGCCAAGGTCTTCAGGTAATTGGGATAAAATCGATGCTCTGCAACAAGGCCGAGCATTGTCAAACGGATGCCTTCGAAATTTCTATTAACACAGCGCAGCAGAGCATGTCAGCTTCCAGTAGAGTATATTCATGGCATGATGAACTCTGTAGCTCACGACAGACGACGACTCATCTCTCTGCATTCCGCCATAGGCTGCAGCTTTTAGGGTATACGTATTGTCGGCTTGCGGCCCTGGGCCCAAACATTTGTGATCGAATAGTCGGCCGACTAGATTGATTGAGTGTAATGGAAGCAGTTTAATTGAAAAATTCAAGAAAAGAACTGGGAACTGAAAAGTTTAAATTAATTGCGAACTCGTAAATAGAACAACAGACACAATCGTAGTCGAGAAATTGCCATTTGAACAAAAGGTAAGAGTTGCTGTAAAACCCGATAGCAGCTAGCTGGGAACTCGTATATGTATGCACTATATAAAGGAAAAAAGAAGAATACATCTCACATATATATATATATATATATTATAAATATGCATATCATATATCATATCATAACATTACCAAGCCGAGTCGTCAAGTTTCAAGAGCTGCATTTAAATCGTGCTCGCATCGCCAGGCGTCACATCCTGAACTTTGGCACGTCGCATTCAGATGCTGGAGTAAGCTGCGCAGAGGCCACATCATTTTCAAAATGAGATCTAATGAGTGCACATTCAGGCCAAAAGGAAGCTGGTTAGCTGGCAAGCCCGGCGGTGACCGACTAGCGCGTCTACTTCCTTGTACTTCAAACAGGGTCAAACTGAGTAGGAAATGCAAAGTGCATTCACATTTTGATTTCATTATTGCCTTTCACTACAAATCTGACTTCCGTGTACAAGCTTCCATCTGGCGCTTGAATGCAATCAATGGCCCCCATTATGGGCGTCGACTACTCGCACAAGGTGAGAGGCATTGAAATGCAGCTCAAGAAGCCGGCGCGGGCGGGCAAGCGAGAGGAGAGAAGCAGGATGCGGGCCTGTGAGAGGTTGAGTCAATGCCTGTGGATGGTAAATCCGGAAAAGCGGCGAGTGCCAAGCTTCTTACAGCCACGACCAGAAAACGTTCCCCGCTTCGGCACCTGGGTGGAAAACTTTTGGATGTCAGTGTTAGTTGAGCGCTTTGTCTGCGGTTTGAAAAAGATTTTCGTTTTGTGGAAAGCCGGCAACAAAAATTATGTTTTTCGTGAGAGGCTGCAAGGATTTGCGGCTTTGCTAAATGAATGGAGGGCTGTAAACTTGAGAGCTAAACTTGAGCACGAAAGAAATTGGCTACCCAATCATATAGATGAGACAAATAATCATTCAATTTAAAATTCTACAAAATATCAGATATGGCATAAATTGACATAGGTATTGCATTATGCTGCGAAAACTAAGAATGTCTTCACTCTCTATCTCCCATTTTTGACAGGCACCCCAAAGTGAAATGCCTCACATAAATCACCGTCGAATGGCAATAAAAAAAATAAAAGAAACTTTGAAAAGTAAGCTCAAATACTGCCCAGCCTTGATCGGCCCAAAATATAATGCGAAACAGAACGGAAACATGCAAGAGCGCACAGGCTGGACCATGGGCAAGGACAATGAGCCTGCGACGAAGGTCGCTGAACAATTTAACGAATTTCCGTCGCACCGAAAATAAGAGACTTAAGTTCTGTATCAATGGCAAAGGCAATGGCATTAAAGTTTGGCATTTAAACAGAAAAAATGAGAAAAATGCGAAAAGGGTGCCCAAACGGAAGGCAAAATGGCGACACCGGACATGAAATAATTTCAATTTTGTGCATTTCCTTGCGCGCCAGATTGTCTTGAAGATGGGCCCAAGTCAAAGGAAAATATTAAATGGGAATTTACAATTTTAATAAACTTTCACCACGCACAACTTTCTGGAGCCTTTGCTGGTCTACGCAGACTGCTGAATGCCTCTATCTCTCTCTCCCTCTCTCTGTCTCTCATTCACGCCTTAAAAGCCGCAAAGTTCCCTTTGCACTACTTGGCTCAAATGTCCGCTGGGAGTGGGGCGTCATTGCTTTACACTTTTCTCCCAGCACTTTTCATTCATTTAATTTTGCCGCTGCGGCAGGTGCGGCTGGAGGGGAGCGGCTCCACAACAGATGGCACTTGGGTATTTAACGTTCGCTAATGCCCCGCGGCCGTTGCGGTGCAAATGGGGCGTGGCTGCAGCCGAAAAGAGACGGCGACAGTTGGCGGCCGTTTCCTAATTACAAATCAGCGGTGGCGCCCCAAAAAGGAGCACGCTAAAACAACGCAAAAACGAACAAAAAAATATCCTTGCAACAACAACAGCAACGAAAAGCCGCACAGAGAAATTACAAAATATTCGCTATGCTCTCTTTTCTTTTTCGTTCACTGTTTTGTTGTTGTTGCTTTCTTGCGACTTTCTGGGTCAACAATTATGCAAAATACTCTTAGACCGTCGCATTTATCTGTCCTTTCGGCTGTGGACCTTAAACACAAAGAGCTGCCACGCCCTCTTTCTCGCACTCTTCGCTCCCCTCGACTGCGCCCACTAGCTGCGATCCCCAAGGACTACTGCTGGCGCATCCGTTTTATAATTAGTTCGCTGCTGTGCAACACTCAAGAGAGTGCGAAAGAGAGAGAGAGATAGTGAGTGTGAGTGAGAGAGAGCGACAATTGAAAACAGTTTCTAAACGAGACTTTAAGATTTAATTGTTTGAAATTTTGTTGAGTGCTTCGCACGATTATGGAGAATTCCAGCCAACCCAGCCAGGGGTCCATAGCCTTGAAATCGACTAATGTGATTGTTTTTGCATTTCCAATTAGATTTTTTTTCTCCATCTCAGACGTTAATTAATGTAGTGCATTAGCATCATTGGCTTTACAATGAAAAGGCTGTTGAAGTTAGGGAAGTTTATAAAGTAACTTCTAAGCTCTTGTAGGGAATATGTTTGATATGAAAGGGCATTTGATTGAAAATTTTAATAGAAGGTGTGTCTGGTCCTTGAATATAAATAAATAATATGTACAAAATGTTTCTTAAATTGAAAATGCATTAACAATTAGTGCAGTTAATACAATCTGTGTGTAAAGATAATGGTGAGTATGGGAACTGACAACAGTTTTAATAAGCAAATAATACTTGAAAGTATAATAAATCATGTGGGTGGAGATAGGAAATCGAAATATATCGGATTATATTATTATATAAATAAAATAATAATAATATACATTAATTATAATAATAAATCAGATTTATAGAGTTTCCTTTGGAAAAGTGTTATATTGCCTTAAACATCTCTATAATAAATCACATTTGAAGAGTTTCATCAAGAGAACAGTTACTATCTAAATGTATCTATAAACTGCAGTCGAGCAGCCAGTCATCCCAAGTTATCCCAGAATCTAGCATTAGCTCTGGTTGGTCTATGGCTGTTTGGGCCTCTTGGCTGTGCAATAAGTAATTTAATAGTCTCGTACTTTCTTGTTCTTGTTCAATCACTTGTTTCAGGCAGCTCTTGCGGTTTCGGCCAGAAAGTTGTGGCTGTTGTGTGGCAAGGCAAACGCTTGGCTCCAGTCGACATTATAGGCCAGTGCGCTGTGTGTGCTGCCTACGGCAAGTGCAAGTGACATCATTAACTTTTCCTTGGCTCTGCGAAGCGCTTCCTAGCTGACTGCCTGGCTGGCTGTCGGCTCTTGCAGCATTTCTGTTGCACCTTCCGTTCGGCTGGGATACAGTTGAAATAAAATGTCGAAAAAGTTTGCTGAACCCAGCAGCAGCGAGCAGAGGACCAGCTTGCGGTTGCCCGTTGTGGTTGCAGTCTGCAGTTGATGCTGCCCCAATGCCACCTCGGCTCTGGCGAGGCGCCTTTGTTTCCGGCGGTGCATCGGCAGGCTGCGTTGTTGTGCTTATTGATTTGTATATTGAAACTACATTACCAGCTGAGAGCTGTCGGACCAAGTTTATTTGAACTTTTTCATTGGGTGTGTGGCCATTGGCCAAGCTCTCATTTCTTTTGCTCTTTGCCCGCTCTCGCCCATAGTTCAGTTTATTTAATGCTATTTGTTGCATGTCAAGAGTCGCTCTTCAGCCCCACAGAGTGCCCAGCTCGACATTTACTTAATAATATTTTGTGAGCCCTTTGCATCAGCTAAGGCTAGCAAAACTCACAAAGTGAATGAAAACATTTCATAGCCCTGACTAAGGCCGAGCACATAGCAGGGCAGTACAGTTTGGCAGTAAACGCGTTAAGAAAACTTGTCTCATCACAGAATACAGGCGTGCCACTCCCACGACTGGCCTCCTTTCCTCCTCTCCGCTCTTAGTACTTGTACTGGCCAGCTGGCCCTAAAAGCCAGTCAACGAGACATGATTTTGAACTTGTACGGCGAACGGGCTGCCGCTGTGCGAGTGGCATTTGCAGCTGACATGGAAATACCTAAATGCACACACACACACACACAGTTGCACCCACGCACCCACACACCCATAAGCACACACGTCTTGCGAGCGCTTGCGGCGCATTTCGAGCAGGCACGCCCACCATAATGCTGTGGGCCGGGCAGACAATAGTTGGCTCCTAAGTAACCTCAACCTCATTCGCAGTCAAGCCACTCACACAATGGGAAGCCATGTGCATATACATGTGGATATATATAATATATATGATTCAATTGCAGGCAAAGCAAAGTTTGTTTCAGACAAAATTTATTTAAAGCATTGGTTAATTAAGTACTTGCAATACAGTTATAAAATTACAGTTATAAAATCATCTTGCAAATTTTATGCATGCTTTTGATCTTTCGATTCCACTGTACTCTCAGTTGCCTTGTCACACAATTTCATTTGTTGTTATGCACTCAAGAGGTCATCGTCGACGCTGTATGATTACGCGGCTCTTCTCGCCCAGCAGCCGCCTGTAGTCGTTCTCCCTTGCTCTCGGAAAGTTTCCCAACTGATTTCCCCTCGCTGACATTGGGGCCGCTGTAGTATTTGTTACTTATTCTAGTTATGCCCAGCGGTGCCTTCCAAAGAGAGCAGCGCACATCTCACATCTCTAGCAGGGGTCGGGCAATCTCTGTGTGAGTGAGTGAGTGTGTGTGTGTGTGTGTGGGTGCGTCGTCTTATCCGACATGGCTGCATATCGAGGTTAAAACTTGACAATAGTTCAACTCGACTTGCTGCCCACTCCCACGTCTTCATTGGCCTTAGCCGCCCGTAGACCGGGCTCAGTGCTCAGCGGTTACGTATACGCCGCGTTAACTTGTCGCCCTTGTCATCGTCGCAGCTGCCGGCTGCTCGCTGCAGCTATGCCAAGCAATATGCAAGACGGCTCTCGACCACTGCTCCGCTCCAAAAGCCACATGCCCAGCCTCACCCTGCCCCGCCCCTGCTGCTGCAGGGCGCAGATCGTGACCCAAATTATTTACACAAAATACAACAAGCGCGCGTGTGTGTGTGTGAGTGCGTGTGTGTGAATGTGTTAGTGTGTGTTTCTGTCTGCTGCATGCAGTCGCAAGTGTGTCGTGTCTTCAAGTTGTTTGACAACCGCCCCCAGCCCCACCTTCTCTCTCTCTCTCTCTCTCTCTCTCCCTCTCTGCTCTCTACTTGAGCACATCCCTGCAGCACTTCATCTATGTACAAATCGGCATTTGGCTGTGCGCAGATTTTCGAGGTTAATGCGTGCAAAAGTTTGAAATTAGTAAATTTCCTTTCTTCCTATCTTGCAATCCACACACACACACGCACACACACACACTTTGCTCCCAGGCACGCTCCACACTCCATTTTCTCAAAGCCGAGTCCTGGCTGGTTATAAGTGCATCTAATTTATTTGTATTTTGTGTTTGTGTTACAGTGCGTATACGTGATACTTGCTTTTTGCTACCGCCTCTGCTTACCAAAATGCAGCAAAAACAAATATGAACGACCACAACAACAGCAACAAGCAGAAGAAGAAGAGGACCCACATAACATTGTAGGCGACAGTGGCACTCGTTTAAATTAAAGTTTTTGACCCAAATTTATGTTAGAAGTTGATATTTTCTTTAGCATTAGTTCTTCTGCTCCCAGTATCCTTAGCTCCTTCCGCCTCCTCCCGCGCCTTTTGTGCCCGCCCAGCTGCCCCGTGCAATATTCTAAAAAGCAACATACGTGACAGTATTTTGTAATTTTGCGTGCCAGCGACAAAATGAGTTCATTCCGAGTTGCGTCTAAGGAAATGCACTTTTTGCTCCCCTCCTGCCTCTCTCAAGCAGTCCCCCGCCACCAGCCCTGCCCTGGCCCACCCGCCGGGAGACTTATGAAGAAGCTGAAAGTCTTTGTGTGCGACTTTAGTTGCAGTAATGGCAAGACTAAATTCTCAAAAATGTTCTCATGTTTCTGGAATTCTCTGTGTGACCACGTGCTGCTCTTGTTTTCAATTAAATTGGATTTAGAATTTAGAATTTGACGCAGGAAGCTTCGCACTCCCCCTCCCTCTTCGCCCTGCTAAAAGCTTTGTTGCATTTGCTTATGCATTTCAAATTTTGAGCAAGGCCAACCAAACTCAGCGAAATTGATAATGCAAATACTTTATGAAACATTGTTTCTTGGAAATAAAGTAAGATAAGCATATTTCCTCTAAACTCTTAAGCTATCAGGAATACTATAAGAAGCAAAAAGAGGAAATAAATTGGAATTGAGAATGACTTTCAATGCTAAAACTATTTCTATATTTTCAATAAATTATTTTAAACTCGACCCATATTAAAAAAAGATTCACTGCTCCTATAGAGCATAATTTAGAACGCTTCGAAAATCAATTTCCCAATTTGACTGCTGCTCATTTGATTAGAAAGAAATAATTGTGTCAGACCGAGCAATATATATAAAATGTGCTAAATATGCAGAGGGAAAATAGACACAGAGTAGACTGAAATGTGCTCAACTACTTAAATATTGATTGCCATGAAGATTGCCGGCTCTGCCTTTGTGCAGCTGTAATTAGATTTCGCTTTCTGTTTCAACAGATTGTAAGTAGCACATTCAAGAGTAACAGTATCTTATCTGGGCGCTAGCTTAATTAAACAGCTAGCGGGGCGTGGCGGCGGGCGGTGGCAGGACGCCCAAGAAGCCAAGCAAATTGTTCAAAATGAGTTAGTCAAACATGGCACAAGGCCACGCCGCCGGCAACATAGCAAATAGAAACACAAGTATAAGTAAAAATGAAAAAAGTAATATATATATATATACATACATATTATGTATATATAAATTCAGGAAAGAATTGGTCAGTTTAGAATACGCTGAACTTTGGCTGCCCTAAATAGCAGAAGAGATAAATATAAAACATAAATAAATAGTTATAACTTATTTAACATCTACTCTTATAAAAAATGTGAATATATGTATAAAAAAAAAAAAATATATATATATATATATAAGTTGATGAAAGTATTAATACTTTTATTTATAAGTATAAATATATATATATATATATATATATATATATATATATTTATACTTATAAATAAAAGTATTAATACTTTCATCATATTAATACTTTTATTTATAAGTATAAATATATATATATATATATATATATATATATATATATATATTTATACTTATAAATAAAAGTATTAATACTTTCATCAACTTTGAATATTAAAAAAAAAAAAATTAAATACATAAATATTTAAATTATGTAATATATTCAATGATATAGTATATAATACCTATTTTATATATATATCTAATTATTTGTATCCAAAGATCAGACTAAAAGCTAAACTAAAGGTAAGAGTCGAATGGAATAAACTTCTGGCGCTACACAAGCAATATTTAACTGAATATAATTTCTACGTATTATTCCTTCAACTTGCAACTTGCAGAATGCGTAATATCTCTCTGATATGAGAGTATAAAACAAGAAAAATGGCGGACAATGAGGGAGGGGAAACGGAACCGTGAATGGGAGCTTGGGGAACAGTGGACTGTGCGCAGAGTCTGGGCATCGTGCTCATGAATATGTACATGTGTATGAATATATATATGCTCGTGTGTATGTATGCATGTCTGTGTGTGTGTAAGCGCGGGTGTGTGTCTGTGTGTGTGGAGTGGACAACTATGTGCGTTGCGTGCTGGTTGCTGGCCAGCGCCGCGTGCTAATTATGATGAAAGATTTCTGCATCTTTTAGCGTTAATCCATTTGGAAAATTAGAAATGAAAATTTAATGAGATTTCCACCAACTTTTCCCGACATTTGCGTATATTTTCCACACTTTAGTGATTTTTTTCCTGTTTTTTCCTTTTTTTTTTTTTTTTGTACTTTGCTCACATCGCATGGCAATTAGCGTGCTCCCTTTAAGGCGTCCAAAGCAGAAACTAATAATTGAATGGAAACTGTGTGCGGCAGCAGACTGGCGGAGAGGGAGTGGGGAAAAGTCTGGTAAAAGTTGAAAAACTATTGACAGAAGCTATTGATGTTGCCATCTGGCCGAAGTTATCGAGCATCGTGAGAGCAAAGTTCCCATTGGCGACGTGTCAGTGGATACCTCAATCTACAGTCGCCTTCGCTCTGCTCGTGCGGGGCAAGGCAACTTCTTTGCCCTGGAGGGTGGGCCAACGCTTGTAATGTCATCAGTCATTCATTACGCTTTATGAAGTAAGTGTGCTTCTAAAACGAACATTAATTTCTACCCAACAGCCAGCAATTAACGCGACTCGACCCAGCCAAGCGTCAACGGAAAAATGTCTCCCTTGGAGCTCGCAGTTGTGCTTTATAACACGTTTTTAATTACCCGTTTCGCGGCGTTTGGGGACCAACAATATGGCAATCCAGCAATACGGCAATGAGCGAGTGCAACTTGAAAACAATTAAAAATGTCGTAATTGTCGCATTAATGTTTTTCTGATAACATTTTTGCACTTGGCACGCGGCCAGGCCCAGGCACTGAGACAGTGCTGTAATTGCCGAGCACGCAACACAACAGGACTTACCGAAAAGAATGTCAATAAAAAATTAATTAAAGAAACTGAAAATGATATTTTTATAGACAGTTATCATGCCCAGCCCAGCAAATATTCCCAGCTGCCTCGTTCTATTTATGCAAAACTAATAAAAAACAAAACGAAAATGAGTAAAAATTGCGTTCTTTTTTCATTTATTTTTGGGTTCTATTTATCGTCAAACCATGTTGCGTGGCCATAAAACATGGCCGAGTCTGTACTTAATGGCCAGCCCATGGCCCAGCGTACTAGCCTCGAATCATTAAACGCACTTGTGACCCCCAACGTACGCCTCACACCCGCACGGACAACTCTAAGGGCATGTCGCTATGCGGCTGTACCTCCTGGACATCTCTATGCAGCCATCATCGTAGCTCTCCTCTGATCCAATGCTCTAAATCATGGCAAATAGCTTCGAAACGTATGCAACTAAGTGCATGATCTATGGCCTATATACATATGCAATTAAAAGAAGAAATAAGTATAAACAAGTAAGAAGACTCTAGTCGAGACTGCTCGACTAGGAGATACCCTGAACCCTCTAATCTGATATTCTAATCAGTCTGCACTTCTTTTCAAAACATACACACGCACGTATTAGAACGCGCTCTGCTAACTGCGCAGTAAGCAGCGACTGCGCTTGTGCTGCGCTGTAGTGTGGGCAACATTATAAGAATTTATTTGTTGAATAATTTAATTTCTAGACGTACAATCTTAATGAAACTTTTAGAGCGTAATCATATGGTAAAAATGTATGTACATTCCAAAGCACACGTCTCTAGTACTTGAAATACGCCTTTTACAAAGGTGAGGGTGAGGGGGTGAATTTAAAGGTGGGGGGTAAATTTTAACAAAAACCGAAATTGTATAAATTGCATATAATCATACATTAAAAATTTGGAGACTCTAGCAATAAAAGTGTAGAAGATATAATTTTATAACTGGTTTTCGATAAGGTTTTTTATCGATAAAAAAGATCGGGATGAGTTATCGATTTTTAATGATAAACTTGATATGCGCGCTGTAATTACGAACATTTTAAAAAAAATTTGAAGTCTCTAGCTCTTATATCTTCTGAAATCGACGCGTTCATACATACGGACAGACGGACAGACGGACAGACGGACAGACAGACGGACAGGGCCAAATCAACTCAGCTCGTCGCCCTGATCAAGAATATATATACTTTGTTGGGTCTGCCACGCCTCCTTCTGCCTGTTACATACATTTCAACAAAACCATTATACCCTGATTTCCCATTGAAAATGGGTTCAGGGTATAAAAATATTCCGCTTATTTAAGTGTGAAATCTAACGTTATTCTATATATTGAAAACAAGAAACAGATCTAAAATATCAGGGCTTATTAAAGTGTGTCTCACATGGCAAAGGGCTTTTATAGCTTGGTGCCAAAAAAGAAAACGAAATTTGCAATTTACATAGTTTTTAGCCTCAATTAAATAGTGTGCTTGCTAGCCTTACTTTGCTGTCCTTATCAACAGGGAAACGTAACGTCAAATACCACTTCAGACGTTCCCTTCGGCCAAATAACTCAGATACATATTTCAATCTTAATGAAAATGGTTACAATTCAGAGTTGGCTTCAATAAACAACATTTTCTTACCGACGGCGCTGCTGTTAATGTAATTACCACAGCATTTTTCTTTTGCCGCACACGCTCACACATACACATATAACTTGTGCACTGACATCTTCTGAAAGGACGAGCCGTTACTGACAGAGACGCCGGCAGAAAACTCCTTCAATTGGCGCAATGAACTTATCAGCCAATGGCCTCGGCTCCACTTTCTTCTTTGTCTCTCCCTCTCTGACACACTCTCTCTCTCTCCTGCTCTCTCTCTCTCTCTGTCTGTCTGTCGGTTGGTGCCATATTAAGCATGTGCGTGCCTCTACGTATACTCATTAAAATTGACCAGCCATTATTACAGGAACGTGCCTTTCTTTGCCGAGTAATTTATTCGACTCCTTTGATGCGGGCGACACGGAGGAGTGACTTCAGCTGCCGGGACGTTACTTCCAGCAGCCACTGTGCGTACGCATGCTTTAATAGGTCCACTCCATTATAATGCTGATAACAGTTTATTTATTTAGCATTTACACCATATGTACATAAATATTATCAGCTTGTTTTGCTTGAAGTAGAAACGTGGCCGACGACGAATATTATTAATTTTATTAATAATTGAAGTACACAACTTACTCAATCTACTTACTGGATAGTAGTAGTACGAAGTTGGCCTGGCATGAGATAAGTGTGGAGCCACATGTGCTTGGGGCTGGCTGTCTGGCCCATTGTCTGAATTGACATATCTGCATTCTATGCCATTGAAATTTTATAAATCATGTGCAGATTTACTTTCCTTTTTGCTCTCTAACATACATACATATATCTTTTATTTCGGCACACACACACAGATGTTCGTTTATGGTAGAGGCGAAAAGCCACAAAACACATTCATCAAATCCGCAAAGTCATTCATCATGGGTAATATATTTGACATTGTCAGTGATGGATAAATACTACGTATTGCCACACGGAGAGTGGCCCACTGGGCCGAAACCAAATGGCAACAGAAAGAGCGACAGCAACAACAATACCAAAGGCAACACAAACAAACTACAACTACGGGATAAGATATTCCGCAACATGAGCTGCGCCGGAAGCATATCATCTGCACGAATTTTGCGTTTCGCTGCATGAAAATTGCCTTTAAATTGTTTGATTTTTTTTTTTTTCTTTCTGTCTGTATTTCACTGACGTAAATCCATGAACACAGGTGATTCGACTATGCGAGTCGGCGTAACAGTGTTTCTATGCACATACATACATACATGCATATGCCGTCGCATGAAATTAAGCGATTTGGAGTTGACGTGATGAAAATATGGCATTGATTTAAATTTATTGTAAATGAATATTCAATTCCAAAATAGTTTTTATTCTAAATGCGTTTTATATTTATATTTTTATAACAGTCATTGCAATTGAATTAGGAGTTAGCATCGGAACTCCATGTAGTGTTGCTATCGAAAATGTGAATTCGGAGCATTACATTTGTATTATTTCCGAAACTATTTATACTAGACTGCTATTAATTTGGAAGATTCTGAAGAAAGTTTACTTTTTAGGATCATTTGTTATATTACTTAACATACACACAGTATTTACATATATACATACATACATATGTACTTTACTCATAACGTTTACTTTCTTTATTTATAGACAATATAAACTACGCTCTCCAACAAGTTTCTATTCTGTGGCTCTTCCCTTTCAATTTAATTGCTCTCTCTTTATATCGTCTGGCACTTTTAGCTGCTTTTTCCTCATTGCTCACAAACGCCAGCACACATACATACACTTCTTTTTCATTAAAGGCCTTCATGGCATCTCGTTCTCTCTCAGTAACTGCCGAGACCGAGCTCAGCAACACCTACATATATCTGTCCCACTCTCGTGGAGTGCCAATTTGAGTAAACTAAGAAGTGAGCTGCCAACTCGAGCAATTCCTCCCGTACCACTATCGGAATATGACACTATGTTGTTAGACATTACACTAAGCCTTAACATTATATTCGTGATTTGAGCTGCTTGAATAAAATCGGGATTCCTACTTCTCTTGGCCCTTGATTTGCTTCTTGATTTCAGCTTTCTTTCATGAGCGGAGTGAGCATGAGTGCAAATGAATATGAATTAGATGTGAACTCTTTGGTTCTTTAGTTGGTTCTCTGCTTATCTGAATGGGCAAATAGTTTTTCGTTGTGGGTAAATTGTTATTAATGGGCAGCGCCTGCTATAAAGTGACCAATTTCGGGCGCTTTCTCGCCGAGTTTCTTTCTTATTTCAATTTCCGGCAGTTTTGGCGCGCAACGCGTTAAGTTGTCATTTGGTGACGGGCAAAGAGCGCCAAATAGAAATGTGGACTGAAATGGGCGAAAAACTTTTGAAATAACTTCAAATGCGCGTGCAGAAAAAAAGAACGAGGGAATGGGAAGCGAACGCGACGCGAAAGCGTGCGGCATAAAGAAAATTGTGGAAAGTGCTGCCGCCTCTAAGAACAGGCAAACTGTTTTTGTGCTTTTAGAAGGCAACTAAGCGCGAAAAGTTTCGCTTTTCGGCTGGCAAGGACAACAACAAGCCGTAAGGACGAACGCGCAAGCAAAGATGGTGTTCTAAATAAAATAAATTCGATTCGCATTTGCCGAGCTGCGAACTTAGTGGGCCGCGGCAGCACTGTCCAGAGGCCTCTGCTCCACCAGCACATCCATCGCACTTTTTGTGAACAGTTCGTGTGTGTGTGGGTGTGGGAGTGCCTTGAAGACTCACTGCCACATTAATTTCACTTCTTATAAATCTCGTAAGATGTTCCATTTTTGTTTTTGTTGCCTTTTTTCCGCCGGCAAGCAAATTTGCCTGCACATAAATTATTTGATATTAAAGGCAAGTCATAGCCGCTTTAAAGTCCTGCTCAAACTCCATATATCATCTTCTATCGGCACAATTAGGCAAGCACTGCGGAGCGTTTTCGATTTGTGTCAATATTTTAATCGTTCTCGATTAATTTCGTTTGTGAGCATCATTTTTCAATATGCTAAATTTGTTTGCCCCGCAAATATTGACTGAAGCCTAATTTCGGGAATATTTTCCAATTACATTAGGATTATGTTTGAGCAGGTTGTGCGCGGCGTGAGGTCTGTTGGGATTACGTGGTTAATTTGAAAATATATATTGAGTATATAAGCGAGCAGCCCTGTTGCTTGGCAGAAGTTTGTAAACTCCTAAACAATTCTGGGGGTAAAATGAGGTCGTCTGGCTTATTTATATATTACCCATACTGAAGAGACTCTGATGGGAGATATCGTATATATCACACTCTCATAATAAGCTATTCATTTAATAACCTCTAGCTAACACAAAAAGTAAAAGGTTGCATTTGGCTCGCTGTAAGTGGAATTAAAAAGTATATTCCGCTAATGCATAAATTGGGCGATAGCCATAAAAATAATGGTAAATGGTAAATAAAATGCGCCAAAATGTAATGAAAACAAACAAAACTATAAATTCGAACTAACCCATAAAACTTTATTGGCAAAACATTTAGTGTGCACATAAACATGAAAGTTTTATTCTTTTTGTTTTTGTGGCTCTGTTGTATAGTATATAACGAGTTTATACAGCAAATACAGATATATGTATAGACATATATGTACATATTTAATCATGCTAAAAGCCAAATTAGGCTGCTGGCATAAAGAACTACAACTTTTTCGGTTATCTACCTTTGATTCCAGGCCGAGTAATCAAAGTTAATTTGCTTAAATAAAATTTCATAATATTCGCAATAAAAAATGTTTTCTTGAACTTTCCCAAAATATTGTCTTTAAATAACGAATAATCGAAATTTTGGTTCACTGTGGCTTGATTTGCTAATACAATTGAGTCTCGATAATTCGTATCCCGCTAAATAAAAAATCGCGATAAAAAAATAATTAATCTATGCCCTTGAAAGAATTTTTCGATAATTTTAATTTCTGTGTAAATAAAAAAAAAAAAATAAAATAAAATAAAAAAAAAAAGTACTAATCCTCTTGCCGTTTCGAATTATCGGGATTATACTGTATATATTTCTTTAACAGAACCACTGACCAAAAAACAGTTACTGACAGAACTAAAATTTTTACTGTATTACAATTGTACGAAAGACAATGAGAATGAAACAAAAAACAAATTTAATTTTGTTATCGACTATCTCTATTCAAATTGCCATCACTATTTCATCCATAACACCTTCATATGCTACTTTTCTCTTCCATGCATGGGAAGAAGCTTTTTTACATATGTACCTATTTTACACACAAACATATGTACATATGTATGTACGTTCATTTTGTGTACATACAAATATATGTACATATATATGTGTATGTATGTGCAACTATAAGGCAAATTCAATTAATGTCCACCTTATTAAAAGAATACTTAATGCATAAACAAATCTGAAAGACCTCTGTAAATGGCTCTTGAAGTGCATATTATTATGGTATATTTATTTCGCCTCAATTAAGTAGCAATTAGAGAGACCGAAATTCCCACAGGTACGCTTTATTTGAGTAGGAATGGCCAAATGAACCTGCAGTTGCCCAGCTTAGCTTTCGGCAAGTTGTCATATTGATTTTGGCCTTGTTCTGCATGTTTCTCAAATTTACATGTGTCCTGTGCGAGGACCCCAAAGCAAGCAGTTGGGATGGGAGCCACCTCAACAATTAAGCTAAAACGATTCTTTGTGTGGTTTACGTTGACCGTAATTATAAGTTAAGCTGCTATTAATTATGGTGCCTAATAGAGCTTTGGAGAAGGGCGGGTCTGCCCGGTGCCAGCCCCGAAACTCACATATGCTTAACCTCAATTTCACATCCACAGGCAGTGAGATGAGGGAGAGGGAGTTATCGCCGACATCAGCAAAATGTATCCGTAGGCTAATCTGTCGGGAACGTTGAGCAAATCGCTTCCGTCTGCCCCACCTGCACCGCCACCAGCGCAACCACCTTTCACCCGACCCAAATGAAATCCAAATTAATTTGCCAATAGCAAAAGTTTTGCATCAAATTTGCATGTCAGCCACACTCGACCCCACCCACGCCTCCGTCAGCCCAACTGTTGTTGCTAATTAGCAATAAATTTGGATATTTGCCGCAATTGTAAATAGCTGCGAATATGAAATATTGCTGTTGATGCCACGTACTTGATACAATATTGGGGCTAATCAGTTGGTAATCCTTTGGAACAGCCAGCTAGCTATTTGAAAAGTAATCAAGCGCACTGGTAAGAGAAAGAAAGAGAGAGAGAGAGAGAGAGAGAGTACAGCATTTTCCCAGCTTCAAGTGAGAGACGCATAAATCAATTTGAAATGAAATGTACACTCCATGTACTTGGCCCGTCTGTCTTTATTTCGAGAAAATCTGCTACGTACTCCGGCTATTGGCACACACACACACACAAACAAATACACATACACACGTACTATGTTGCTGCGCTGTTCTACATAAATTTTCCGTGAAAATCTGCATAAAATCAACGCTAACAAGCTCCATCCACGGAAGCCAGACAAACATCCTTGGCTGCGTTTCCTTTTGACTTCTTTTTAACGGAGGAATGGGACGGACGGATCTCTGTTACAATTCCGTACAATGTTCCCATGCAGCAATCACTTCAAACAGCTGTTGTTGCTGTTGCCAGCAAATTGACTAAAACCAAGTTTGACTGAACAAGGCGGAAAATTAGCTGAAGAGAGCTTCTAGAGAGCTGGAGCCCAAGTTTTCTTGGAGTAAAACACGTACATGTGTAGAGAGAGAAAGTTTAATAACCTGCATGGATAAACTATAATCACTAGTCAGAGATTAGTGCTACAATTCATATGTATTTACCCTCCTGCTCGAGCAGCATTTAAAGTTTATGCTGTAATTTGAATTTCGACAACTACAAACTGATAAAAATGAACTCGAGCAAATAATCTACTGCACTGTGGCTATAGTAGAATAGGACTTAGTTGCTGCACCAATTAATTTAGCCCAAGAATGCCATAGTTTGAGAAACTAGCGAGATGCGGTCAAGCGGAACTGCTACTCAATATGGAGCTTCACTTTCACTCCGACCATCAAATTGATCGGAGACGCAAATGGCGTAAACCCAACTTGAGGGGGAGGAGGGCAGCCAAACACTAATTGCCAATCAATCTGAGCCGTTAGGCAGGTGGGCTTGAGCCATTTTGCGATTTGACCAATCCGGAAGGGGGAGGCCAGCAATGGGACTATGAACTGTTGACACGGAAACTAACTTAACTTTGCAGCAAATGTAAAACAGAAAGTTTGCAGTCAAGTTTACGACTGTATGCAGCAGTCGTAAACTTGGAGCAGGCAGACGAATGCGGACAGCCCCTGTATATACCCATCTGCGATTATATATATATACTTACATATATGTGTATAGGTATATACATATATGTATATGAAATGTAAGACGCAACTAGACTGTAGCTTCAGCTGCAACGCTCCATGGATAACAAACGACTTTATGTTTATGTAAATGACGAGAAATACAATGGCATCCGGAGTGCAAAATATGATCAACGTACGTTAAGGGCCCCATTTCAGGCGTATAAACTTTAAATTGCCCGACTCAAATACAACAGCTCTGCAAATGTATCTATTTTTATATAAAGAAACATACATACATGTGCACATGTATGCACACACACACACACACACACACACGGCTGAAAAACTACAATACATAAAAATTCCATTATAGAAAATCCGAATGTCCTGAGTATTTTCTTTACTTCGAACTCCATTTGCATGCAGTCAGAGTTGCGAAATTGCTTATGCAAAGCACTTTACAGCCACGAACCAAAAACTTTACCAAGCCAACGCCATCCCAAAAATTTTATAACCGGCTCATTAAATTAAACAATTCAATATTATCTTTATTCTTGCTTTTTAGACTTTGTAGTGATCAGCCAGTGAAGACCGGCTGCTTCGCCTGTTAAGCCAATGCAGTTGCAAAGAGTAAGACTGCAAGAGAAGAGAGAATTGAGTCATACGAGCTGGTATTGAAGAGCTCTAGAATCTTACCATAGTTACGCCTGGGCACGTGAACGATGCATACGATATTCAATTGCGTGACCGCACGAAATACGTATGCTATATACCTGAACATTTTATCATGACATACGTCGCCACAAGCTATTCCACTTGTCTTCTTTTGCCCAGAAGAGTTCGACATTTTAGATGCGCTTCTTGGTGAGAGTAGTCTGCTCGAATATTTAAGCTGATGATAATGAAAATTAATTAAATTTAAAAACAATAAATATATACCTGACAAATAAGAATAGTTGAGAAAAGTTTTCTCCTCACGTTCTCTGCTCGGATTGACAATAGAGCAAGTTTACAATCGATTTTTCGATAACAATTACATATGAGAGCGACAATGTACAAATATCCGTAACATAGAACGAGTAGGAATGGAACATATTCAATGCGTGGAAATGCTGTAATCATTAAGCAGTCGATTTCCAATTATTCAAAATGGGAAGGGGATCAGTTATTTTTTTTTTTTTTTTTTTTTTTTTTGATTTACACAGATATTAAAATGATCGAGAACGAATTCAGTTAATTTTCAATTTAGCGGGGTACAAATTATCGAGACTCTATTGTATATGCATTTGATTACCTTCCCAGCTTTGAATCTAATAATAGGTTTTTGATTTGCGATAATTGTTAATTATGACTATATGAAATATACCATTTAGGCTTGAACACGCAACTGAATTGAAGCTGAATGAAGCTTGACAGGGAGGTGCGCCCCAATCATTAGTTGAGGCGGGGTTGATGGAGATACAGTCCGATACTATTCCAGTTCAATTCAATCAAAGATAGGTATTTACATATTTACATTCATAATTAAGCATTAGCTCGTCAATTTTATCGCTCTTTAGCTCTAATTGAATTGGGAAATTCTAGTGAGGTTGCGTATGAACTGCAGTTGGCAGACGAAAATTGCATCTATGCAGCTGAAAACACGCCCAGCTAATACATGTATTTTCTAGCGTTTAGCTAATACCAGAGAAATTATTGTTATTTAAGTTGGGTACGTAAATATGAGTTTGTGGTCTTGAAAGCGGACATTAGCTCGTTTAGCTTCAACGTATACTTATTCCGATAACACGCACATTCGAACTGTGAATGTTCAGTGCCACAGCCACGCCCCATAAATAATTGAGCCTGCAATGGCAGCAAATAAAAAGAGAATGACTTACAATCGCTTGTCGCAGTTCGAATTAAGGGCCCGCGATAGATTATCATGTCTCGATTCACATTATCGATATGTTGGCTGTGTCTGTGCCTGGTCTGGCCAGACGTGGCCTGGGCAGATCCTTTGCTAGTGGACATATCCAATGGACAGCTGCGTGGAAGGGACAGAGGCGACTACTATAGCTACGAGTCGATACCTTATGCGGAACCACCGATTGGCAGTCTTCGCCTTGAGGCACCGCAACCTTACAAACGTCAGTGGAGCGAGGTGTTCGATGCCACGAAGGCACCGGAGTTCTGTTTGCAGTCCAGTCTATTTCTTCAAGGTGGAATAATTGGCAAGGAGGACTGCCTTACTGTGAGTGTGTACAGGCCAAAGAATGCGAGCCGGAGCAGCTTTCCCGTCATGGCCTACATTCACGGAGGAGCCTTTATGTTCGGAGGGGTCATGGAGTATGGGCACGAGCTCATCATGTCTGCTAGCAATTTCATCATGGTGAAGATCAGCTATCGATTGGGACCTTTGGGTTTCCTGAGCGCGGGAGATGCAGATTTGCCGGGGAACTTTGGCCTGAAGGATCAGCGATTGGCTCTGCAATGGATCAAGGAGAATATCGCCAGCTTTGGCGGTGAACCGGAGAATGTTATGCTAATGGGTCACTCCGCAGGCGGTGCTTCAGTCCACTACCAACAGCTGCATGGCGGACTAGAGGATGTGGTCAAGGTGGCTGTTTCGCTCAGTGGAAGTGCATTGTGTCCTTGGGCTACTCAATCTGATGAAAGGCAGAAGGCGTTTAAGGTGGGACAAATATTAGAATGTAACGTGAATGGGACTTCCTTGGAACTAAAGCACTGCCTGCAGTCAAAGGACCCCAGGGACATTGTCGGTGCTGTAAAGCACTTTATAGTATTCGGCTACGTGCCCTTCGCATCCTTTGGCCCAGTTGTTGAGGCTGCCGACACAGTAGAGCCTTTCCTCACCCAACAACCTGTCGAGGCTATGAAGAGTGGAAACTATTCACAAATTCCTTGGCTTTTGTCTTATACCCTCGAGGAGGGTGGCTTCAATGCGGCACTTTTCCTGGAAAAGAGTTATGAAGACGGCAAGGAATTAATTGAAGTATTAAACAGGCGCTGGAATGAACTGGCTCCAGATCTATTGTTTTATCGCCACACAATGAACAATTCTGAAGATCTGAATCGGTATTCGCAAGAGTTGAAATACCAATATTTGGGAGATCGCAACTTCAGCTTTGATAGTTATTGGGACTTGCAGCGCATGTTTTCGGATATTTTGTTTAGGAACCCTATTCAGAGAACTCTCGAATTGGCTCGTTCACAGCGAAAGACTCCCTTTTACTGCTACGCTTACGACAATCCTTCCGATTTTGGCGTGGGTCACTGGCTGTCTGGACGCACTGATGTATTCCTAGGTAAAGTTATATTGAAGAAAGTCCCTTAGTTCTGTGTAAATTGATATTATTTTGTAGGCACTGTACATTGTGATGATCTTTACCTCATGCTGAACAGCGCCATACATGAAAATCTGCGTTCGGATGAGAAAATCATATCTAAGAATTTCTTACAAATGCTTATAGACTTCGTGGAAAGCGACAAAGGCCTGCTCACATACGATACCTGTCAGTTTAAAGATATTGCAGGCCAAGACAAGATGGAGCTGGTTTACATAACCCGCGAGGGTTGTGAGAATAGGCGGGTGGAGATAATTCCGTGAGTCCCCTGGAACGAAGCTTTCTATTTTGTTTAATAGATTTTTAAAAGAATTAGGAATTATATAGTATTTTTTTTGTATTAAGATTTTTAAAAGGATTATGAATTAAATTGAATTTAAACAAATAAAAGACGATGGGATAGAACTTATCTTATGATAGAAATCACTTTAACACTAGTCCCAGGCTCTCGCTAGATATTCGGGTTAAATAGGTTACCTCATCACCATAACAGCTTTAATGTGGGTGCTTAAAATCTTCTCGCATAATCGATTGGAGCTCCCTAGTTCGTTAAGCGGATTTTCGTCGAGTACGTATTTGGGGCAGCAAGCTACATGCCAGATTTATTACGCATACGTTGGGCACATTTTATGGCTGCGAAGTGTGAGAGAGAGTCTCAAAAGTGCAATTCCGAATAGTAGTATACGAAATACAAAAGAAACAGTCTTCATAAAAACTCGTATAATATAAGCAATTACTTGGCTTCTAGGGTAAAGCATTTTACGATTTCATACTTGTTGGCTGTAGCTGTTGCCTCGGCTGAGGTTTGACGCGGAAACTAAACCTGAACCTGGAATTGGAGTTGGAGTTGTAGTTGGAGTTTGGGCGAAAGCCAATGCTGTGGTTACTCAATCAATATTGGATTTTTACCACAATCAGAGGCGGACAGACATATGAAGAATTTATTGTATGTGCTTGGCGGGGGTTTGTTTGCCGGACAACCGTAGAGAGAGAGGACAAAATCGAGAAAAACGAAAGAAAACAAATAGTCTGGATGTACAAATAAATTAAATTAAAACGTATACACACATAAATTATTTAGAGATAATGTAGTGGCCCAATCGCATGCCGAACGTCGAATGCCGAATGCCAAATGCCAAATGCCAAAGATCCAGAGACTGGCCAAGTTCTCGGGAGCTACTAACAATAAGCAGACAGCCACAAGCCGCACATAAATGCAATAAAAGCAAATTCAATTGGCGGCCATAACGAAAACGAAAACGAAAACCAAAATGAGAAAGAAAATGAAAATGAAAATAAACGAAATGGCGGAGCACAAAGCATAGAACAGCAACAAGAAGTCAGGCGCAAACAAAGACAAATACGAGAAGCGCCTGCAAACGAATTTCGTATAAATCAAACCCCCACAAATGGGAGCTCGATCCGAAGCCGAAACTAAAACATGGCCAAAACGCGGACCATAAGAACAATATATATATATGTATATATATATATAAGAAATATGCTTTGGCCTTTATTTGTGGACGCCTCGGTTCCATTCTGTTTACCTTCTGCCAGTTGGAGCTGCTCCTGGGAGCTGCTTTGCCCTCACCTGGGCAGCTGTTTCATCCGGCTGACCAGTTCACAAATGTACAAATTTATGAAATTGGCCAAAAAGTGTTGACGTCATTAAATGCCAGAAAGTCCAGTTAAACGAGAAAGGACTCCACAATACAAAGCACCAAATGCAAAATAAATAAATTCTAACCAATCAAGCTGTAAAGTTCGTAAGTTCATTGTGAGCTTGCTCGATTGCAACGAAACTGCTCTTGAATCTCACAAATGAAACTCGAGATTCTTTTCACTTTTCTGTTTTTCCTTTATTTAGTTTTATATATTTTGCATATTTTTGCTGGACTTTGCATACTCATAATACACTGTAGTTGCATAAGGGATTACAATTTCAGCTTGTAAATTTAAATTCCAGACATTTGGTAAACTAATTGAATAAAGAAATCTGTTTCATTCAGTTTATAAAATTCGGGGATTGGTATCAATTATAGATTTTGATGTATGTATATAGATTGAAATAGAAATGAATCTTATTTAGCTTTTTTATAGTAATTTAAGAAAAATGTTGGTGGCCTTGATATATTATCATTTCTGCATGTTTTTCCTGTAATCTATAATGACTATCAAAATCTAAGTTATTAGATACAATCGGATACAGCTTAAAAAATTCTTTAAAAAACATTTATTTGGCTTCTCTGTTAAAATGCATTTTTGATTAAATAATATTAATGTCTTAAAGTAGTATAATTATAAAAGCAAAAATGAAATAATATATAAATGGCATCAGATCTAGTGTTTCTTAACTCTCTCTCTCTCTCTTTCTCTTTTACTTATAGATACCATTATAATTTCTCTCTCTCTCTCCCCCTCTAGATACCATTATAATCATTAATGTCTCGTGGGACTATAATTATTTAATGGAAATATATCAAAGGATATTAAAGCAATGCATTAAAGCAATTTGTACATATTTGGGATCAGGCAGCCCGAACTATTCGCCTGTAGCTCCTAATTCGTATTTATTTAGTGGAAATGACATATGTATGTATAAATACTTGACGACAACTTTGCGAAGCGCTCAGGCTGAAATCTGTCGCAATTTCTTGATTTCTAGCACAACTTTTTGCTGTTGTTGTCGTTGTTGT